TCTTATAAAAAGATGTACCTATAATTAGTGTAGATGTAAGCATTACATCTTAAATAATGACTTTCGCTAAGGCATAAGTGTTTTTCTAGTCATAATAGCTTATATTGAGTGTTGTCTCTGAGCCAGGCACCAAGCTTGGTTATTTACATGCATTATTTCTAAATTCTCACAACAACTCTTAAGATCCTTAGAAAAACATCATCATAAAAATGAGTCCAGTGTAATATAAGTAATTAGATGACATAGCCAGTTAGTGTTGGGATTGGAATTTTTAGAGTGGGAAATCTTAGTAATATATGTGAAAATCAACGTTTGAAGCTTAACACGAAATAGTTATTTATCTTTACTAGTGAGGTTAAGAAAGGATTTAAGTAAAATAGACAAATCCCCACCTATAAAGGACATAATAAATTTGACTGTACTACAGTTAAAGTCATTAAAAAGAGCATAATAACAGTAGTTAATATTTATTGAATGTCTACTATGCACTACTGCAGTGTCGTATATTTTTATTGATACTTAAGTGTGTAGTAAATATATAAAGACCTATAAGGGATTGATATGGAAATAATGCACATCCACATGGCAGTTACCTTTGGAGAAGAAAAGGGTAGGGATTTAGCTGTATCTAGCTGTATCTGTAGTGTGATAGTAAGATCATGTGGTTAAGAGTGTAGCCTCAGGACTTCGCTGGTAGTCCAGTGGTTAAGACTCCATGCTCCCAATTCAAGGGGCTCAGGTTCGACCCTTGGTCAGGAAACTAGATCCCACATGCCTCACAGCTAAGAGTTAACATTGCCACAGTGAAGATGAAGATTCCACGTGTCACACCTAAGACCTGGTGGAGTCAAATAAATAAATATTTTTTTAAAAGAAAGAAAGTGCAGCCTGTACCACATCCTTGTTTGTGTAACCCAGAACAAGTTTCTTAATCTCTGTCAGTTTTCCTCATCTGAAAATGAGCCTGTTAATCAGTTCAGTCACTCAGTCATGTCCAACTCTTTGCAACCCCACGGATTGCAGCATGCCAGACTTCCTTGTCCATCAGCAATTCCCAGAGCTTGCGCAAACTCATGTCCACCAAGTCGGTGATGCTCTCCAACCATCTAATCCTCTGTTGTCCCCTTCTCCTCCTGCCTTCCGTCTTTCCCAGCATCAGAGTCTTTTCCAGTGAGTCAGTTCTTTGCATCAGGTGGCTAAAGTATTGGAGTTTCAGCTTCAGCATCAATCCTTCCGGTGAATATTCAGGGTTGATCTCCTTTAGGATGGACTGGGTGGATCTCCTTGCAGTCCAAGGGACTCTCAAGAGTCTTCTCCAACACCACAGCTCAAAAGCATCACTTCTTCAGCACTTAGCTTTCTTAATGGTCCAACTCTCATATCCATACATGACCACTGGAAAAACCATAGCTTTGACTATACAGACTTTTGTCAGCATAATAATGTCTCTGCTTTTTAATATGCTGTCTATGTTCGTCATAGCTTTTCTACCAAGGAGCAAGGATCTTTTAATTTCATGGCTGCAGTCACCATCTGCAGTGATTTTGAAGCCCAAGAAAATAAAGTCTGTCACTGTTTCCACTGTGTCCCCATCTATTTGCCATGAAGTGATGGGACTGGATGCCATGATCTTAATTTCTTGAATGCTGAGTTTTAAGCCAGCTTTTTCACTCTGCTCTTTGACTTTCATGAAGAGGTTCTTTAGTTCCTCTTCAGTTAACGCTGTAAGGGTGGTGTCATCTGCATATCTGCTGCTACTGCTAAGTCACTTCAGTCGTGTCCGACTCTGTTCGACCCCTCAGATGGCAGCCCACCAGGCTCCCCCGTCCCTGGGACTCTCCAGGCAAGAATACTGGAGTGGGTTGCCATTTCCTTCTCCAATGCACAAAAGTGAAAAATGAAAGTGAAGTCGCTCAGTTGTGTCCTACTCTTAGCGACCCCATGGACTGCAGCCTACCAAGCTCCTCCGTCCATGGGATTTTCAGGCAAGAGTACTGGAGTGGGTTGCCATTGCCTTCTCCGCTGCATATCTGAGGTTATTGATATTTCTCCCCGCAGTCTTGATTCCTGTTTGTTCTTCATCCGACCCAGCACTGCACATGATATACTCTGTGTATAAGTTAAATAACATATTAATAGTACCTCCTAAAGGGTTGTGATGATCAAATGAGTTAATATATTAAAAACAGTTAGAATAGTGACTGAAAATAATACATATTATTGTTTTAGGGCAGCAAGAGGTTGAAGCAAATATGGCAAAATGTTAATATCCAGTAAGTCTTTTTTGCTTAATTTAAAAAAATTATTTGTTGTTTTTGCATAATTACAAAAATTTATTTTAACTTTAAGGTCTTTATCATAATGAACATTTCATATCTTCATTGTCTCAAAGAAGCTAAGGAAGCAAATGTCGGGCATGTGTCTCAAAGGAACGTGGCCCCTCAAACTTCATGTTCATGTTCTATTTTTAGATAAATCCTTCTGTGCCTTATTGGGCTCACCAGCTTGTTGGCCAACAGCCAGTGCTGCTCACATTAACAAATATAGTGTCTCCTTGAGGCAGGCTTGGTGTTTCTGCTCTAGAGGATGGAGTTAAACCAACAGAAACCTGACTCATCCAGTTATTGCAGTAGCCGACTAATCAACAAACACAGAGGGATCATCAGAGTCTATACCAGAGAGTGTGGGTAAACAGTGAAATTTGACTAAGTATTTGTAAGCCATTAATGGCCCATATAGTTAAAGCAACCAGAGAAAACAAATTCCAAAAGTCTCTCCATTTGCCAGTCTTGATTATGAGAAAAGTGGGGAAGTCAAAGTTTTTATGGAATTACTTACATTGATGTTTTTAACCTTGTGCTGTGCCGTACTAAATCATTTAGTCATGTCCGACTCTGTGACCCTATGGACTGTAGCCTGCCAGGCTTCTCTGTCCTTGAGAGCCTTCAGCCAAGAATACTGGAATGGGTTGCCATGCCCTCCTACAGCGGATCTTCCTGACCCAGAGAACTGGTCTTTTAAGTCTCCTGCCTTGGCAGGCAGCTTCTTTACCACTAGCACCACCTAACCTTACTTGTATTGAAGTAAGGTTCAGTTCAGTTCAGTTCAGTTGAGTCACTCAGCCGTGTCTGACTCTTTGCGACCCCATGAATCGCAGCACACCAGGCCTCCCTGTCCATCACCAACTCCCGGAGTTTACTCAAACTCATGTCCATCGAGTCGGTGATGCCATCCAGCCATCTCATCCTCTGTCGTCCCCTTCTCCTGCCCCCAATCCCTCCCAGCATCAGGGTCTTTCCCAATGAGTCAACTCTTCGCATGAGGTGGCCAGAGTATTGGAGTTTCAGCTTCAGCATCAGTCCTTCCAGTGAACACCCAGGACTGAGCTCCTTTAGGAGGGTCTGGTTGGATCTCCTTGCAGTCCAAGGGACTCTCAAGAGTCTTCTCCAACACCATAGTTCAAAAGCATCAATTCTTTGGCGCTCAGCTTTCTTCACAGTCCAACTCTCACATCCATACATGACCACTGGAAAAACCATAGCTTTGACTAGATGGACCTTTGTTGGCAAAGTAATGTCTCTGCTTTTTAATATGCTATCTAGGTTGGTCATTACTTTCCCTCCAAGGGATAATCGTCTTTTAATTTCATGGCTGCAGTCACCATCTGCAGTGATTTTGGAGCCCAAAAAAATCAAGTCTGACACTGTTTTCACTGTTTCCCCATCTATTTGCCATGAAGTGATGGGACCAGATGCCATGATCTTAGTTTTCTGAATGTTGAGCTTTAAGCCAGCTTTTTCACTCTTTCATTTTCATCAAGAGGCTTTTTAGTTCCTCTTCACTTTCTGCCATAAGGGTGGTGTTGTCTGCATATCTGAGGTTATTGATGTTTCTCCCAGCAATCTTGATTCCAGCTGCGCTTCTTCCAGCCCAGCGTTTCTCATGATGTACTCTGCATATAAGTTAAATAAGCAGGGTGAAAATATACAGCCTTGACATACTCCTTTTCCTATTTGGAACCAGTCTGTTCCATGTCCAGTTCTGTTTCTTCCTGACCTGCATACAGGTTTCTCTAGAGGCAGGTCAGTTGGTCTGGTATTCCCATCTCTTTCAGAATTTTCCACAGTTTATTGTGATCCACACAGTCAAAGGCTTTGACATAATCAATAAAGCAGAAATAGACATTTTTCTGGAACTCTCTTGCTTTTTCGATGATCCAGCGGATGTTGGCTGTTTGATCTCTGGTTCCTCTGTCTTTTCTAAAATCAGCTTGAACATCTGGAAGTTCATGGTTCACGTATTGCTGAAGCCTGGCTTGGAGAATTTTGAGCATTACTTTACTAGCATGTGAAATGAGTGCAATTGTGCAGTAGTTTGAGTATTCTTTGGGATTGCCTTTCTTTGGGATTGGAATGAAAACTGACCTTTTCCAGTCCTGTGGCCACTGCTGAGTTTTCCAAATTTGCTTGCATATTGAGTGCAGCACTTTCACTGCATCATCTTTCAGGATTTGAAATAGCTCAACTGAAATTCCATCACCTCCACTAGCTTTATTCGTAGTGATGCTTTCTAAGGCCCACTTGACTTCACATTCCAGGATGTCTGGCTCTAGGTGAGTGATCACACCATCGTGATTATCTGGGTCGTGAAGATCTTTTTTGTACACTTCTTCTGTGTATTCTTGCCACCTCTTCTTAATATCTTTTGCTTCTGTTAGGTCCATACCATTTCTGTCCTTTATCGAGCCCATCTTTGCATGAAATATTCCCTTGGTATCTCTGATTTTCTTGAAGAGATCTCTAGTCTTTCCCATTCTGTTGTTTTCCTTTAACATCCATGAAAGAAAGAAACAGGTTTGGTTGCTATTTGGTATAGGAAGGGAAGAGAATCAGTAAAAGGAACAGTCTGCTCAGCCAGCCCTGATGGTCATCTTGAGTGCTTAGATTTCAAAATGACATCTGTGGCCAGTTGACAGTAAAATCATCGGTGTTTTTGTTAAGGCAGCTAAGAATGGAGCAGCAGGCGTGGAACTCGACCTGGAGTTTACTTCTGACGGGATTCCTGTCTTAATGCACGACAACACAGTAGATAGGACGACTGATGGCACCGGTCGGTTGTGTGATTTGACATTTGAACAAATTAGGAAGCTTAATGCTGCAGCAAATCACAGATTAAGGTAAGTGGTGTGTTGTCACCTAAACGCATCTTTCACCTTCTAATTCTGCTCCAGGAGAGTTGTTCTGTTCTGTTTTGTTTTTTACTGTATACAGGTTTCCCAGGTAACAAGCACATGCCAGGGACAACAGAAATAAGATGTTTTTCATCTTTTCCCACTGAGGCCAGATTTGATTCAGAATTATTCTCAAGACAGTACTCTAACGTGGCAATTACTTTGTACTGTCATAAATTTGTATATATGTGTGTGTGTGTGTGTGTATGTATGTATGTCAGAGCTAGTTCTGTAAGATGTTCCAGAAGAAAACAGTTCTATGATCAAATAAGATCAAACACTGTATACTTTAGATGTTTCCCTTAGGGATACATCTGTCAGTGTATCCCTGTCAATCAATTCTTACCTTTAATTTAGTGTTTCTCAAACGTGTATGACCACAGAACCCATGCCCATCCCACCATTAACAGCTATATAAAAACCTTGGTATTGGTATACTGGATAATATACTTTGTAATGTGACTATTTAAATTCCTTTCCTCTTTCTTTGTAATACTGAAAAATGTGTTCTTGCTGTAATTCATGTTATATCAGTTCTCTGATCAATTTATTTGACCCAGTGATTAAGTTATAGTCCTCCCCACAAGATGACTTGGACTTTCTTTTCCTTGGAACTGAAATAAAAAGTCAGCCAAAGGAAGTCATACTCTTTTTTTTTTTTGAAGTCATACTTTAGAAAGGATATTGATAACATTTGAAAGTCCGAGTCAAGGCTGCTGAAATGCCTCTCTGCTATTACAGTTACTTCATTGCTCTGCCAAAGGGGAGGGAAAGGCTGGTGTTCTTATTACAGTGATGTAGCTATAAAGATGTAAAGTTCAAAGTCAACACTTAAAGCAAAAATGCTTATATAAGTTATCTTTATCTTTTTTAAAACCAAGATCTTAACGCTGGAATAATGTGGTTGAATTAGTATACGTTACATCATGTAGACTGAAATTTCATTATGTGAGAAAAGCTGGTTTCTTGTGTGTCCGGCACTTAACTTTCCTTTTCTTTTTTAAAAATTTATGTATTAGAAAATTATTTTTTAAAGTTGCACTTAAATGTACAACAATACAGTTAACAGATGTATATGTATTGCTAGGGATTTCTCCTACATAAGACTCTATTGGGGAAGTCCCAATCTTAAAATTAAGTCTCTGAGTTCTCCAAAGATAGCATATACTCTGCCTTTTAAAGTTACTCATTACAAATCCAGTGAATGCCTAAAAAGTAAATGATTTTTATTGTTGCTGATCTTTGGCCTAGAATATCTTTAATTTGGTTTAAGAAGATATAGTAAATTGTCCTTGGACTTTGGGATGGTTGGAGAAAGGAAGTTGGTGAAAACACTCTTCCTTTGGTTGGGAGACATTTGTCAGATGTCTGTTTCATTTAATTTTTATCTTTTCTTTTTTCCTACATTGTACTATTCCTTTCCCCTCTCTTGTAGGAATGATTTCCCTAATGAAAAGATCCCTACCCTAAGAGAAGCCGTTGCGGAGTGCCTAAACCATAACCTCACAATCTTCTTTGATGTCAAAGGCCATGCATCTAAGGTACGGTTTATTCCATAGGCTTCTCTTTTGAAAATACCTCTTTATTTGCTAGGCTATTTCAAAATTAATTGTGTATTTTCTTATTTATATTTTCTTCTTAAATTATTTTTACAAATTATATTTGCATAATGGAAGTTTACAAAGCAAAAATCCACATCTTCAAGGAAGCAGTAAAGTATGGAATCTTTTAACCTTTTAAACTTTGATGGAATTGTTTAATTCCTAATATTCAACAACTAGCATGAAATAGAAGAGTCAGGTTTCTCTTACTTGGATAAAACATTCACGAAAGATATTAAATAAACAGTAAAGAGGCACTTCTTGAATAAACCACTCTAGTAACCTCATAAAAAGGACTTCAGAAGTTGAACATGAGACCGGTTGGATCTGGCTGATAAGAGTCTTAGGTAGAGAGCTGTGGACTGAATTTAAAGAAAGCTCCTGTATTTAAAGCTTCTGATAGCTAAGAGGATGTTTACCTTCTACAAATATTTGCTCCTTTTGTATGATTTACGTCCCTTATGTATAGTTTTTTTTTCTTCTTTTTTTAATGGGCTGTACTGAGTCTTCGTTACTGTGTACAGGCTTTCTCTAGTTGCAGTGAGCAGGAGCTACCCTTCATTGCGATACTCGGACTTCTCACTGCAGTGCCTTCTCTTGTTGCAGAGCTCAGGTTCGAGGTGCACAGGTTTAGTTGCTCAGTAGCCTGTGGGATCTTCCTGGACCAGGGAAGATGGTGGACTATGTCCCCTGCATTGACAGGCAGTCTTAACCTCTGGACCACCAGACAAGTCCCCCTTACATACAGATTTTTAACATATACTTTTATACATAAAAACACATTATTGCAATGGAAATCATTGGGAAAATACAGTTCATATTATGTTTGTTCTCTTAACTTTCCAAGTACAGATACATTTTTCTGTATTTATACAACTGGGGTATTTTCCCCCAGTCAGAATTATGATCATTGGAAGGACTGATGCTGAAGCTGAAACTCCAATACTTTGGCCACCTCATGCGAAGAGTTGACTCATTGGAAAAGACCCTGATGCTGGGAGGGATTGGGGGCAGGAGGAGAAGGGGACGACAGAGGATGAGATGGCTGGATGGCATCACCGACTTGATGGACATGAGTTTGAGTAAACTCCGGGAGTTGGTGATGGACAGGGAAGCCTGGCGTGTTGTGATCCATGGGGTCGCGAAGAGTCAGACACGACTGAGCGACTGAACTGAACTGATGACCAGCTAGGGGCTTCCCAGGTGGCTCAGTGATAAAGAATCCACCTGCCAAAGCAGGAGACACAGGTTTCATCACTGGGTCAGGAAGATCCCCTGGAGAAGGAAATGGCAACCCACTCCATTATCCTTGCCTGTGAAATCCTGGAGAGTTCTAATGATACAAACTTTTATTAAAAATAAAAAGTGTTGAAAAAATTTTTATTTAAAATTGAAAACAGTTGTTAAAACCTGAAATATGAACCTCTAACTTAAGTACAATAAACTCCCATTTTTGAGCAAAGAGGAGAAGGGTGCTCTGGTTAATTTATTATTCTGGTAAACTGATGGTTCTCTATATCTAGCTTTTTCGGTCAGTCTGCATCAGAATCACCAGGAATACATATTGAAAATACAAATTCCTAGGCCACCCCATTCAGAGATTAAACCCTAAAAGTGGCTCAAGTCGTGGGCTCAAGGAATATGGTTTGTTTTTGGGGGGGGGACATGTATTTTCAATGGGCACCTTAGGTTTTATTGATGATACGGCCCACATTTCACCCACAATGTACTGACCTTCTCGCTTCTTTTCTTAGAATAAGGAGGGGTGAGGGAGGAGAAATTTTGTTTTTTAATCCAGGTATTGCTGTTTGAGCCTTCTGGTTGGGCATTCACAGATGGTTTGGGCAGCTTTGGATCGAACATAGTGAGCTAGTCCACCAAGGCGGGAATATAAAGAAACAGGTGCCAGCGGCAAATTGGAGATGCAGCATAAGAGCGAGCTCTCAGGCGCTGGAGGCCACGACTGGACTGTCACTGACGCAGTGTGGTGTTGACCTTGACCAGGCTCGGCTTCCTTGTGGGCGAAGAGGGGGCAACGTAAGGAATGACCATGTGAGGTCATTGTGAGAATTCGATAAAGAATCTGGAGGAAACATCACACACAGTGCATGTTGGTTGAAAATGACTTCAGCTTTCTAGCTCATACTTTGTGATATTAGTGAAGGGAAGCATGACATGAATAATTTCTTTCTTATTTTTTGTATTGCATTTCATTGCTTATTTTTGGATGTAGGTTAAATGTGATTTTCCAAAAATTAGGGGTATTTCAAGAATTATGATGTAACAACGTTACAGTCCAGTTAACATCTGGACACCTCTGTTATTAGCTGCTACTGTTGTTCCATGGCCAGACCTCTTAATTCAATAAAGGTTACACAATGCCAGTATCTTAATTGTGTCATTTCTTTTCATTTAGTAGCTGGACTGCTACAAAATGAAACTTCTGCTCCTCCTGGGAAGAGTTGGGAGACTTCCAGCTCTCCCCAGTTTCTCCCCATCCCATTGCTTCCCCCTCCATGTTGGTGATGGGTGACATTTCCTCTCTCTCTGGACTGAGAAAATCTATCCTTTCTATTTCCCAGACTGGTTGACTCCTGCTTGAGCTAGGAAAGGCAAAGAGTGATAGAGTTGTAGGGATAAAAGGACCTTTCCTAGTGGCTAAACTGGGATATAAGGAGAAGACTTTAAAATTTTGCTTGCAGCCTCCACTGGCCTGTAGTCTGCCGTATTTTTCCAAAGTATGACAGAAGGAGGTGAGCCTCTCAGCAAAATAGTAAAGCAGCAGTACCCCAGCTGCTTACTCATCTGCTGGTATGAGTTTAAAATGCATCCTAGTGGATAATGCAGCCCACCAATACTCCTTTGAACATCCCCATATATTAGTACACTTCTGATGTAGTTAATAGAGTTGTACCTATTAATACAGTAGTTACTGTCTGGGACTACATTTTAATAAATTTTAAATACATGAATCTCTCTGTTTTACAGGCTACTGATGCTCTAAAAAAAGTATATATGGAATTTCCTAAACTATACAATAATAGTATCGTCTGCTCTTTCTTGCCAGAAGTTATCTATAAGGTAAAATTCTGGGTTTTTGTTGTCTGTAATATTATGTTAGTCGGTGGTGATAATAGCAATGGACTAAATAAGCATAAGATAGATGCCTATTAAACTGAACTGAATCAATTAAAGAGACCCCTCTTTTAAATTAACAAAAATTTGGGAAGGGGAGGGTACTTGGACCCCGTTTTAAAGTACCTTGATTCCTTTTTAGCTCCTCCTTTTATGTTTATAACTCATTCATGTTACTTTGGTAAGCATTCTCAGAACAGAAAGAATTATATATCTCTGCATCTTACTAAGTAACAGCAGAATAGACCTTTTTAAAAAATAAGTCTTACTTAGACAATTTTCAGTATGCCTTAATTTGAAATATGTAGATAGTAGAGCAAGCCCTCCTAACTTTAACAACAATCCTTATTTCATCCATAATCCCATTTATCCCCAGTGTTATTTGGAAGCAGATTCCAGACATTTCATCCATAAAAATTGCATTGAGTATCTTTAAAAAACATAATCACAATTATCATTATCCCATCTAAAACCATTAACAGGACGTCCTTAAGACAATCAAATATCCAATGTATAAACTTTCATTTGTCTCACAAATATCATAGTTTTTGGTTTTGGGTTTTGTTTTTTGTTTTTACAACTTATTCATTTGAATCAGGACCCAAATAAGAACTTCATGTTAGAATTTAAATCTTAAAACCTATAAATTTTGTCCCCCCCACCTTGTGATATATTTATTAAAGAAACCAGACTGTTTTGTAAAGTTTATTTACCAAAGTCTGGATTTTGCTAATTATGCCATGATACAATTGAACACATTGTCTTCTCTGTATATTTCCTATAAGTTGGTGGTGACAGCTATAAATCAGATTAGGTTTAATTATTCTTGGCAAGGTAATTTCTTAAATGAGGGTCTTTTTCCATCAGGAGGTACATAATGTCTTCTGACTTGTGTTGTCAGCAGCTGCTGTTGATGCCAGTGGCCAGTTGTGGCAATTTACTAGCAGTTGTAAAATATCAATATTTTAAGTTTGTCATTTATTCTTCATGTATTATCTAGATTAGGGGCTTCCCTGTTAGCTCAGCTGGTAAAGAATCTGCCTGCAATGCAGGAGACCCCAGTTCCCCCAAGATTCCCTGGAGAATGGATAGACTACCCACTCCAGTATTCATGGGCTTCCCTGGTGGTGCCTGCAATGCGGAAGACCTGGGTTCAATCCCTGGATTGTGAAGATCCCCTGGAGGAGGGCATGGTAACCCACTTCAGTATTCTTGCCTGGAGAATCCCCATGGACAGAGGAGCCTGGCGGGCTACATACAGTCCATAGGGTTGCAAAGAGTCAGACATGGCTGAGCAACTAAGCACATTAGCTAGGTAGAATTCTTCTGTAGAAAGGAACTCTCATCTATGATTTAGCTACTCAGTAGCAAATAAATGCTTAATTTTGCCTTTTGTTCACCAGTTTCCAAAACAATGAGTTGGTTCCTCAGCAATGGCCAACATAGCATATATTTAAAATTTTACAGTAAGGGTGGAGCCTACTGAGATATAAAGTGTCATTGAGATGAATAGTGTAATGGGGCTTTTAGACATTTGAATCAGCGTTTCCCAAACTTCCTTAACCACAGACCTTTAAAATGTGTGATACATTTTCCAGAGCAGCATAGAGCACAGATTGAAAGAATCTCATCCGCATCCCCGTCTCCCCATTGCTTTGTCTTCATCCTGCCCCCACTTCTCTCTTCTCACTTCTCTCAGCCCATTTCCCCACCCCCACACCTTTTTTTAGCCATTTTCTCTAAAAAGGATCAAAAGCTAACCAGCGTATCTTGAAATGGTCATGGTTTCATCCTAATTGCATTCTAATTATCTCTCGCCATAATTTAAATCCATATCCAATTAAAAGTTACTCTTTGTGACTTTGTTAAAATTTGACCCTGAAATTATAATGTTCTCATTTTAAAGATAGGATTGCAGTTCTTTTAGGATTGTGAAGGAAGTGTTCTTGTTTATACTGTATATTTACATCTTTACACCTAACACATTATTTTCTCAAAGGATGTATGCTAGAGTATTTAGTAGACATGGGGGCAGCATACCACCTGTGACCTCCTCGTTCAGAATGAGTACATTGGCTAAATCTAAAGAGCAAATGAGAGGTATTAGAGTTAAGATGTGATTATGGCTTTCTTTTTCCAAATTTCCTTTCAGATGAGACAAACAGATCAGAATGTAATAACAGCTTTAATTCATAGACCTTGGAGCCTTAGCCACACAGGAGATGGGAAACCACGCTTTGATACTTTCTGGAAACAGTCCCTATTTGTGGTATTGGACATTTTGCTCGATTGGAGTATGCACAATATCTTGTGGTACCTATGTGGAGTTTCAGCTTTCCTCGCACAAAAGGATTTTATATCCCCGTAAGTTGGAAGATTTTTCTTCTCCTGACACATTTCCTGAATGTTCTTCTTGGAAAAGGAGGATTAACAGTGGACACCTGCATTGGTTCCCACCCACAGAGCCGGCCATGCCTTTATTAATTTAGAATGCCATTAGCTGCTTAGGTGGGAAGAGTTCAGGCCTCTTTCACTGTCTCCAAAAGATACTGATCAATTATTCTTGTTTTTTAGTTCATTTTAAAGAAATAGTGTCAAACTGTGACTACAGAAACAGAGAAATTGTATTTCCTTGTGATTGGCTTCCTTTAAAAACCAACACAGGATCCAGGGACGACGTCTTGTGGGCGCCAGCCTCATCTCTCCTAGCTTTCCTGCAGGCTCCACTCCATTGCTTCTGAGAAACTTTCCATTCCCTAAACTGTTAGCATTCTCTGAATCTGGGCAATTTTATGGCTATGTATTTCAGGTGGTTATAGGTTTTAAGTTTTATATTATTTAAGGCATGCATGCATTCAGTTCAGTAGATTTTTGGTGTATGCCTATGTTATTACAAGGTTCTGTATTAAGAAGCTGATGATGGCCATGGTGAAAAAAAGGAAGCCATGGCCTGCCCTCATGGAGTTTATAGTCAAGAGGAAGAGAGAGATGCTAATCAAAAAGCGATCCAATAAATATTAAGTTACAGCTAAGATAAATGCTATATAGGAGAGAAGAGTGCGTGTATACTGTTTAATTTCTCCTAGTAAAGGAATCAGGGAAAACATCCCCACGGAAGTAACAGCTAAACAACTAAGCTAAGATCTGAAGGGAATTGAGGGTAGGGGTCGAGATCCAAGTCAGAGGGGGAAACATGTACCAAAGTGTTGTAGCAAGAAAGAGCCTGTTTCTTGCAAGGAATTGCATGAGAAATCAGTTCGCACACAGAAAAGAATACAGCACAGAAAAGAGAAAGGGCATGTGGCGTAAGATGAGGCCAAAGAAACAGATGGGGCTAGGCCACTGCTTACAGCCTCCAGTAGGGGCACGTGGCAGCAAGGGATTGTTTCTAGGAGGCGGCTGAAGTGTTTAGAGCTGCGGCAGTGTGGGGGAGGCGCTCGTGCTGGGCTTGGAACAGTCTGGCTGCAGTGCGGAGGCCGGTTAAGAGGCTCCTCCTGGGTGCTGTTCGTCCTCAGTGAGTATCATACTCAGAGACCATTAGGGATTTCTGGGACAGCTGGCATTATTCTAACGGTGGATTTTTCCTCTTTCTCCAGGGACTACGTGAAGAAGTGGTCAGCTAAAGGCATTCAGGTTGTTGCTTGGACTGTTAATACTTTTGATGAAAAAAGTTATTATGAATCTCATCTTGGTTCCAGCTATATCACTGACAGCATGTTGGAAGACTGCACACCTGAATTCTAGACTTCCCCTGCAGGGAGGAAACACAGTTACAGATACTGTCTGTGGGCCTTACGCAGGGACATCAATAAGCCCAAGCCCTTGAGGGGTCAGGTGGTTCACATAAGCAACAGTCAGTCGTAACTGGGTTTTCACCTGAACCAAAGCAAAACCCAGTGTAGCCACCATGCTCCATGGAATGCCTGAGTTCAAAATTGATGTTCTTCAAAGTCTGGGCCTGCAAAAAGGCACAACACTCCTGCCCTGACTTAGGAGAGGCACACTTCAAGACCCAGTGAAGATAAGCATAGATTGTATTGTGTAATTTGGGGGTGCAGATGCAAATGCATGGGAAATGCATGATCACTCGGAGTAGACATTTTAAAACTTGACACACTTATGTAATTTACTTATTTAAGATGTTTGTATCTAGCTACATTATCAATGTACTGTAGACATCAAACTTGTGACCATACTAATAAAATCATTAAAAGGAGCACTAAGGGAAAACCGCGTACCAAGCATCATATTCTGACCTGGAAAATTTAGGGGAGCTGCTCTTGTCATTCCAGTGACCAGGGAGGCTGATGAGACATTGTTCGGTTGCTGAGTCGTGTCAGACTCTTGCAACCCCATGGACTGTAGTCTGCCAGGCTCTTCTGTCCATGGGATTCTCCAGGCAAGAAGCCTGGAGTGGGTTGCCATTTCCTTCTCTAGGGAATCTTCCAAACCCAGGAATCGAACCCAGGTCTCCTGCATTGCAGGCGGATTCTTTACTGCCTGACCTCCAAGGGAAGCCAAATGATAGGGAAGAAAATGAAAATGGTAGGAAAGGCTTGACACCAGTCTGAGGGATTGTTGATGGCATCTAGAAATAAGAGCTTCAAACCACTAGGGGGCAGAGTTGTACCCTTTTAAGCTCCTCTACAACAGCTGTTCAGACAGAGCTGGAAGAAACTTCAGGAACATCTAGGCTTAGCCTCATTTTACAGATGAGAACAGTAAATTAAAATCTGTGGAAGGGAATGGTCCCAGAAATGTCAGCTGGTGACATAGAGCCTGATTTCATGATAAAATTTCTTGTTTACTATTTATGGGTAATTTTAGTGGTTTAATGTGCATTATTTTAATTAGCCTTCACAGAAATCTTAAGAGATATTAACCTCTTTTTACTGATAAGGAAATTGAGGCACTGTGAAGTTAAAAAACTGAGGCGCTTACCCAGGATCTCACATTCCATGATGTAATTGCTATTCAAATCCAGGTCAGTCAGTTCAGAGAACCACTCACTCTGTCTACCTTTATAACATAGAGCCCTTGATTCCCAGGCCTGCACTTTCCCACATGAGCTCCCAGGCATCACATTGTGAACTTAAGTAGCAATATTTAAAATGAAGTTGAGTAAAAATTGCAAAGTTCTCTCTCTTCCTCCGTTCCCCCACCCCCTGTTCAGCTCCATCAGCCTTGATCACAGGCCCACAGCTTCGTCATGACTTCCCTCCCGAATCCTAATGGGTCCCCAGCCTCACACATGCAGCAGCAAGGCCATCAGCCCACACAGCTAGATGGTGGTGAGAAGCAGGCTGATGATTGCTATAGTTGGTGTTGGCAGGAGGGCAATGAATCACACTTGGGAAGTTTACAAATGAATTTTCTTGAATTTTAAAATAACAAAGATCCAATGACTGGAATATATCTAAGGTGCATGACCTGCATGCCACATTATGACTGGAGTGATAAGAGGAAGAGAACGGGGCCAAAGAAGACATCTGTGGGCTGAATTTCCCCCTTTGGCCTACCTGCAGAGACCACACAGCAACTGACAGGGAAGGAATTAGCTTGGGGCAGTACAGAGTTCACAGCATCCCTTCTGTGGGATGAAGACCCTTTGAGAGCCAGAGTTCCCTGTCTTGACCTTTGTCCCAAATCCATATTGCATTTCACTCAACCAGGCCCAATTAAGGTGCTCATGGGCCTTGAAGAATGGAGAATTCAGATGAATTAAAGTTTGGAAGGCTTAGTAAAGGGGTTAACAACAGGATTTGGCATTAGGTAAAGTTAAATCTGGATTCCTGGTCACTGGGTATATGACCTCTGCAAGTTAATATAGCTAGTGTCTTAATTCATCTCTAAAATAGGGGCAGTATTAGTAGCGTGCCAGGGAGTAGGTGTGATTAAAGAGTGCAAGTAAAGTGTTGATGACTAGGATTTATTGACTTACCATCTGCTAGACACTTTCAGATCCTTTCTGTGTGTCTACTAGAACACCATGAGGTCGGTAGCATTATAATCCCCTTTTGCAGTGAAGAAACCCAGGGAAGTTAAGTAACTTGCTTAAAGTCATGCAACAGTACTAGGAAAAGGATTCAGGCTCAGATTATATAATTCCAGAGCCCACACTCTAAACCCAGGCTTATCCTGTCTGGCCCTCAGCAAGAGCTCAATCATGAGAAACATTCCCAGCATTCCAACAGTGCCTATCGCAATAGACAATAAAAGTTGAATGGTTTGTGGAATGTCCTAAGTGGAAACGTCCTTGAGGAAACTGGATACAGACCTAGAGTTAGGTACAGATTTGGGAGTGTAATGATTCATCAGGGTCAACAATAAGCCATCAAAATAGAGCATTCTTTCCAAGAAAATCAGCAGGGATAAATATCACATCCTCTGCTGTTCATTGGACTGCCTTGGATCCTGGAGACAGATAACATAAAAGGGTTACTTCAAAAGACTTGAGAAACCCTGCTTATTTCATTAAACTACTCACTTTCTTACTTGTAAATCAGTGTCTTCAGTCATCTTGACAAGAATTTCACAAAGTCATATTATTAGACATGAATTTCTAAATAGCATTGTTTCCTAAAGTGGGACTAATGCTTCAATAGGACAATCAACCACAGCTTTGAGGACAAAGAAGGGTGGGAGTTAATGAAGTTCACTCAAGCTTTTAGCATAGAGTGATATATATTGTTGAGTCGCTAAGTTGTCATGTCTGGTTCTTTTGCAACTCCATGGACTGTAGGCCTCCAGGCTCCTCTGTCCGTGGGTTTTCCCAGGCAAGAATACTGGAGTGGGCTGCCATGCCCGCCTCCAGGGGATCTTCCTGACCCACAGATAGAACCTGTATCTCCTGCATTGGCAGGTGGTTCTTTACCACTGACCCACTTGTGGGTCAAAGTTATTTGATTTCTTTGATCAAAAATACTGAAGATTAATGACCCCGTGTGTTCCTTTATCTAATTTCATTCTCAAACTCTTAACAGCAGAAACCAGGTGTTAAGAGGATGGTTATCAGCTGGACAGAAATGTTCCCAAAGAATGCTGTCCTCTGAGACTGAAAAGGGTTCCTGGACCCAACTACAATGTGTTACATGTGTGGAGGGTTTCCCACATCAGCAACAGTTTTCAGTCGCAGGCAGGATCCTCTAGAATTCAACTCAGTTCTGACAGTCTATCCTGAGACAGATTCCACAGGTAAAGGGCTCAGTCCCAGAAGACCACCCTCCGCTTCAGACACCAGTTGCAAGCATAGGTTGTTACCTGAACTTCTGACTGACTGGCTATAGTGAGGCCTTCCCAGGATCCCCTCCTTGGGTTTGATTAATTTGCTAGAATGGTTCACATGACTCAGGAAAACCTGCTTACTCATTAGATCATGGATTTATTATGGAAGGATATTAAAGGGTACAGATGAAGAGCTACATCCAGCAAGGTCCTCCACAAAAGAGCTTCTGTCCTCGCAGAGCTTGGGGCCAGGTACAGGGGCACAGAGAAGTGTTCTGTTTCCCTCACATGGAAGCTCTCCAAAAAGAAGGGCAAAAAGCTGTCCTTTTGGGTTCCTAAGACAAGCTCATTACATAGTTGCATGTGTGCATGCTCAGTTGCCTTAATGGTTTTTGACTCTTTGCAACCCCGTGGACTGTACCCACTAGGCTTCTTTGTCCATGGGATTCTTCAGACAAGAATACTGGAGTGGGTTGCTATGACCTCGTCCAGGGGATCTTCCCAGCCCAGGGTCAAACCCGCGTCTCCTGCACTGCAGGCGGATTCTTTACCACTGAGCCACCTGGGAAGCCCAGTGTTTGACTAAATCACTGGCCAGTGCAACTGATTCAACCTCAAGCTCCTCTCCCCTCCCCCAGAAATCAAGGGGGTCAGGAGTGAAAATTCCAACTCTCTAGTCATGTGGTTGGCTCCATTGACAACTGGCCCCCAACCTTAGGTGCTTTCCAAAAGTCACCTCATTCACAGAGCAAAAAGATATTTTATTACTCAATGCTTAGGAGATTCCGAGAGTTTAAGGAGACTGAAGCCAGAAACTAGACAAAGGCCAAATGTTGTTGTTCAGTTGCTAAGTCATGTCCGATTGTTTGTGACCCTGTGAACTGCAGCACACCAGGCTTCCCTGTCCTTCACTATCTCCCAGAGTTTGCTCAAACTCGTGTCCATTGAGTCGGTGGTGCCATCCAACCATCTCATCCTCTGTTGTCCCCTTCTCCTCCTGCCCTCCATCTTTCCCAGCATCAGGGTCTTTTCCAATGAGTCAGCTCTTCCCTCGTGACTCAGATGGTAAAGCGTCTGTCTGCAGTGTGGGAGACCCGGGTTCGATCCCTGGGTCAGCAAGATCCCCTGGAGAAGGAAATGGCAACCCACTCCAGTACTCTTGCCTGGAAAATCCCATGGACAGTGGAGCTGGTAGGCTACAGTCCACAGGGTTGCAAAGAGTTGGACACGACTGAGCGACTTGTCAGCTCTTCAAATAAGGTGACCAAAGTATTGGAGTTTCAGCTTCAGCATCTGTCCTTCCAATAAATATTTGGGGTTGATTTCCTTTAGGATTGACTGGTTTGATCTCCTTGCTGTCCAAGGGACTCTCAAAAGTCTTATCCAGCACCACAATTCAAAAGCTTTAATTCTTCAGTACTCAGCCTTCTTTATGGTCCAACTCATATCCAAACATGACTAGACTACTAGGAAAACCATAGCTTTGACTATATGGACATGAGACAAATTTTGGTCATCTGAATGACCAATATGTATATTTGGTCATTCAGATGACCAAAATTTGTATATATATTGATATATATTTATATAAAATTTGATATATATTTATATATTCCTTATAAATCACAATATCATGGAGACAGTTATTCAACATCACCATAAAGGGAAACTTGCTAGAAATGCAAATTCTTAGAGCCCATTCCAGCCTGACCCAGAGTTTCAGACTCACGATTTGTGTTTTAACACGCCCTCCAGTTGGTTCTGATCTTTGCTGAAGTCTGAGGACCACTGGGCCAAAAAAAACACAATGTGCTCAATTCTGCCAGTAACTTGCTATGAGACATCAGACAAATCACTGAACCTGTGTGTACCTAAGTTTCCATCTGTCAAACGGAGATTATAAAACTTGTACCAATTGTCTTATAGCAAAAATGTTAAGAGATTTGAATGAGGAAAAAAATGTTAATGTGTTTTGAGAAATATGTTAATAGTATAATACTGTTGTTACGAAGATAAAAATGTTTTAAAATATGGAGGAGCCATAAAACCATACTGCTCAGGGTGTAGTCCTCAGACCCACAGTACTAGATAGAAATGTAGGCTCTTGGGCCTCATCCCTGAAGTCACAGATTAGAATCTGATTTTTTTTTTTTTTTGCCCCACTGCAAGGCATGTGGGATCTTAGTTTTCCAAACAAGGATAGAACCTAGGGCCCTGCAGTGAGAGTGCCAAGGCCCGACTGAGTCCCTAGGGACCACCAGGGGTTTCCCTAGAATCTGCTATATAACAAGATCCCCGGGTGATTGAAATGGGGAAAGCACTGGATGGATCGGAACACCACACAGATGTAAGGTGTTACCTGCATCAGGCCGGTGTAGTCATGAGGGAAATAGAGGGCCCCCTCTGCTCCACACCGGAGCTCCCCCAGTGGTCCGTCTCACCACTGATCAGACATGTATGTGTGTTAGTTGCTCAGTCGTGTCCGACTCTTTGCGACCCCATGCTCACCAGGCTCCTCTGTCCACGGGATTTTCCAGGCAAGAGTACTGGAGTGAGTTCCCATTTCCTACTCCAGGGGATCTTCTTGACCCAGGGATTGAACCAGGATCTCCTGCATTGCAGACAGATTCTTTACCATCTGAGACACCAGGGAAGACCTAATCAGATACACAAATGCTATGAAAAAGTTCACACTGTGGGAATTCAAGGAGGTACCATTACATGCTACCTATTGAGACAATTCCTATTTATGAGTTTAATTCTTACCACCTGTCCTCAATTCAAGGATTATAAAAACATGTCAGTCATGATTTTTTTAATCCATATAACTGAACTTCATACAAAGTCATCTCATTGCCTTGTAAAAAATAAATTGGGTGATGCACTGTGGACATTTGAAGGATCAGAACCTGCAGAAATTCAAGACAGACGATCTTTTTTGAATACTTAAAACCTCAGGGATTATCCAGCTTTCAGGTAACTCCTGGAAAGTATATGTTACTTTGATCATTTTGAGCTAATTAAGACAAGTTTTGAAAGAGGAAGATGGGCAATGTTCCCAGAAATATTTGATGCCATATTCTGAGTTCACTATTTAAATGTTTAATAGATGTGCCTCAGGTGACTTCTATGGTCAGTCAAGTTCAGAATGAACTATTCAAGATCCTAGCTCAGTTTTCTCAGTCCTGGCTTCCCACTGACACCATATGGAGAGCTTTAAGGGGAAAATGAGGATGATCCCCTGGAGGAGGGCATGACAACCCTCTCCAGTACTCTTGCCTGGAGAATCCTATGGCAGAGGAGCCTGGCAGGCTATAGTCCATAGGGTCACACAGAGTCAGATATGACTGGGCAACTCAGCACAGCACACACTGATGCTTGTCTGAGCTGGTCTAGCACAGGGCCTGGGCGCAGCCAGCATTGAGAGCCCAGCTGCCTGATGAGAATTCCTGCTTGGCCTAGGGGCGAGTTGCCCCATGAGGGCTGAACTGCATTGATACAAAATTCATATGTGAAGACCTAACCTCCAGTGCCTCAGAATGAACCGCATTTGGAGAGAAGTCCTTTAAACGTGTGAGTTAGTTAAAATGAAGCCATCAGGGTGGGTCCTCATCCCATCTGACTGGTGTCCTTATAAGAAAAGGAAATTGGGACCCAAAGGTACACCAGGATGTGTGTGCACAGAGGTAAGACCATGTGAGGACAGAGCAAGAAGGCGGCCATCTACAGGCCAAGGAGAGAGGCCTCAGAGGGAAACCCAAACTGTGGACACCTTGATCTTAGACTTCCAGCCTCTGAAACTGTGGAAAAAATGTGTGTTGTTGAAGCCTCCAGTCTGTGGTACAGGTTATGGCAGCCCTAGCAAACTAATGTATCCCCCATATGTTTCTCAAGACCATGGGTGTGAGGATGTTGCACACTCAACTCCATGTGTGAGACCTGCACACATCACTCCCGAGCTTGTACCTCCGGGAGAAGTGGGGCCACACTGAAGTGGAGACAAGAGGTGGGTGGAGAAGCAGTTCTGATACAAGCTCTGAGCATATGGGAAGTGAGCAAAAATGATGCTTCCTAGGGAGTTCACATTTCATTGTAGAAGCCAAAGAGGCACAAACAGCATTAGGATAACACTTAGAGGGAAAATCCCTTCAAATATTAATTCCACAGACTGCCTTCACTTACCTCATGGACAGGTTGTCTCCCATAATTCCCTGGGCCTCTCCTTCATGACATTTGCTATAATTATTGTTTAATTAAGTTCCTGCCTAAAGCGATCTGCTAGACAATAAGCACGTGAGGGTGGAGACTGTTTCTTGTGCAGCATCTTGTTCACCACCACTTGGCACATCCTTGTGTAATGAATGAATGAACACTTTCAGCAACCACTAGCAAAGATGATACTAAGAGAGCTTAATTAAGCTGATGAATGACTTCATGAACAAATAAGTCAATGACGTGAACCAATGATTGAGCACTCACTGGATGCTTTGTTTCAAAGTCATCTTAGATGTTTTCTAAATTCAGTTCCAACTGGATTTCATGACAGAGATCACTCAGGAGGAGATCACTCCTCTGGCGTAATCTGGCAATTGCTCTTTTCTCCTGGACCCTTCAGTTTTAGGTAAAGTCACATGGCTTGTGAATCATTTGGCAAATATGCAAAAGAATACTTCATATGTTTATGCATTCATTCAGTTCAGTTCAGTCGTTCAGTGGTGTCCAACTCTTTGCCACCCCCTGGACTGCAGGCTTCCCTGTCCATCACCAACTCCCAGAGCTTGCTCAAACTCATGTCCATCAGGTCAGTGATGCCATCTAACCGTCTCATCCTCTGTCATCCCCATCTCCTCCTCCCTTCAATCTTTCCCAGCATCAGGGTCTTTTCCAGTGAGTCAGTTCTTTGCATCAGGTTACCAAAGCTTTGGAGTTTCAGCTTCAGCATCAGTCCTTCCAATGAATATGCATTCATATGTACAACACATATACATACACATATATATTCCACACATCACCACTGATTTCCTTTGGTTCAACCTAAGACTCTGATGATCATGTATAAAAGTTCACAGGGGCAGAGTCCCAGTCCACACAGCCCCACCCCAGTCCAATCTGAAAGACTCGTACTCAATACGCAACAAAGTTCATAGATGAGACCTCTGGTTGCCTTTCACTTTGGGGTAACATGGGGTTATTTTTAGTTCTAAGTCATGAAAAAAATGCAGGTTCCACAATTCAGAGGCTTCACATCCTTGATTGAGGATCACATTTTTATTCAGGCTGGACCACTTGTCTTAGCACCAGTCTCCAAACCAGGTCTGGGAGTACTGGGAGGGGAGATTTCTAAGGACCAATAATAATTCATTACATAGCTCTTAAAGATAAACTATAACTCTTCCCAGGTTTTTGTGAACTAGTTCAAATACTACAACCGTCTTTATTGGAAAATCTCAAATATTCTGTCTGGAAAAATCAGCAATTCAGGTATAAAAAACCCAACAAGGAATGCCCAATTTTACTTCAGTATTTACATTGTAGTCAATTTCCACTTCTGGCTAAAGGTTTGAATTTCCCATCTGGGAAGCTCATAAAGGCCCAGGTGGCATGGAGGAAGATGCTCCATCTTTATCTTCTTTCCTTCTTTGGTTGGCATCTGGGTACCATGATAATTATCAGGCCTTTGGATTATCTTCTTGAAATGATCGCCTGAATCGCAGGTCTGGGTTTGATACAAGAGAAGAGATGTTAGCACAGATGCACACTGGCCCATATCTCCACGGGAAAGACTAAAGTGGCTTTCAAGATCCCACAGCTTCTCAGGCTCTCCCTGCTTCCTCCTCTTAAGTTTCAACTTTCCCCCTTGAATTCCCACCATTGGAGGTATCAGAAATGCTATTCCAAAAAGATGAGTGGGTTTGTTCGTTTCCTCCCCAATATTCATTCCCCTTCTGGCATCAGTCACAGGTTTTCTTTGGAAAACTACCTTTCTCCATTCTCTCAGTCCCTGTGGCCTTTATGTTGTACCACCTATATCTAAAGATGAGGCCTGTGACTCAGATCTGGCCAATTAAGTCATCACAGTCTCTTGGTCACAGCAACTGATTCATGGATGAGTACATCACCCAATCAGATCAAATGAAACATAAAGAGAATTCTGGGTCTCCTGACCACTAGACTTGAATCTGAGAAGATACAAGAAGCGATTAAAGTTGTCTTGTAACTATCAAGAGATCATTTGAGAAAGGAGATAACATGGAGAAGAACTGAACAGAAAGAAACCAGGTCTTGTGACATCCTGTGAGTCTGTGCTTCTGGCTATGCCTAAGGCAAGAAGTATTCTCGAGTTTTTGCTGAAGCCAGTTTGGGCCAGTTCTTACAACTGAATGACTGGATCTAGGAGCAGTTTTGACCCTTTGTGTTGGGATCTATCATCTGGATGAATCAGACCTTCTTCAGTGCCAGTCAGGTACTCACCTCGAGCAGCATCATGTTGCCTGACATGCAGAGTGCCCCATGGCTAAAAAAGAAGGGAACAAGAAATCTCATCACTAGAAAATTGTGTAGACCTCAGATCCTGTTGCATAGGTGATAAGACTTGCGAGCCCCACCATTTTAAAATTAAGAGGTGACAGATTAAGGTCAAGATTCAGTCACATAAATATCAAACATGTTCTGTTTTATTTTTTATGGACAGTGATTCCATTCATTTAGTCTTTCATTTCACAGATATTTACTGAACATTTACAACCCACCAGGTAATATATTAGGACCTGCAGCTGCAAAGTTACAGTCACAGTCCCTGCCTTGGTAGGATTTTGAGCTGGGCCTCTAAGTCCCTGACCCTTATCGTGCCGATGGTATTAATTTGCACAGACAATAAACAACATAGCAGTCTCTGGACAAGATCATAACTTCTAAAAGTAGTAGCATTTGAATTAACATGGGTTTACTGTTTATCCACATTTTCTAGGATACCAGTGAAGTATCAGTGCAGGCTTTGGTACTAGAACAGGTTCTAGGGATCTCTCAAACCCTTTTGGTAAGAATAAAATTTGCGAAACCTTTTTAAGAGCCTGATATGGCAATATCTGTTAACATTATCATGCATATGCTTGAGGCAGATAAAACACTCACATACAAAAACTATAACAAAAATGTTTCATTACATATTGTCTTTAGTATTAAAAAAAAAAACTGGTAACAACCCAAATGTCCAAGTATGTACAAACTGTGACAGGGAGAGGGGAAATTATGTGTAAAATATAGCCCGTTTTGGTAATAAATAAATAAACAAGAATGTTAGTAGATGTATGGATATGTGCAGATGCCTGGGGGAAAGATCTGGAAGGATATACACTGAAGCATGAACCTAGTGCGGTGAAATTTCAAGGCATTTTTCATCCCAGTGGGACACAGTTCTGTATGTCTGGGTAATGGAAAGATACATGCAAGCTCCAGGAGGGAAGGGCCTCACTATGTTACCATGATATTACCATGATATTACATTACCTAGAACATGGCCAGGCATAGAATATGGTGAATGCATGCTATATTTTAAAATAAAAATAAAGAAATGTTAAAACACGGAAAGTGAAGGGCCCAGATGTGATTCTAGCTCCTGCTGCACTTTTCACAGGACGGCACATCCATGTCACAGGGATCCCAAGGCAGCCTGCAGCCTCACCTCCAAATCTCTTCTTTCCAGCATAAATAAGGTGGGGTTTTCTCTCTTCTCCATACCTTGCAGCTTGATCAACTTATCTATTAGGAACATTTTGTCTTTGCCCTCCTGCCAAGAAGGAAAACAAAAACAAAAATATGGAGAATGAATGATGGTGTGGGGTTGAGAAGCAAATGGTGGAAAGGTTGATTTTTAGGCAGGTAGGGTCCTCGACGGGCTTCCTTGGGAAGTCAGCTGGTAAAGAATCTGCCTGCAATGCAGGAGACCCCAGTTCGATTCCTGAGTTGGGAAGATTCCCTGGATCAGGGATAGGCTGCCCACTCCAGTGTTCTTGGGCTTCCGTGGTGGCTCTGATGGCAAAGAATCCACCTGCAATGCGGGAGACCTGGGTTCGATCCCGGGGTTGGGAAGATCCCCTGGAGGAGGACACGGCAACCCACTCCAGTATTCTTGCCTGGAGAATCCCCATGGACAGAGGAGCCTGGCGGGCTACAGTCCGTGGGGCACAGCACAGCCCAGGGTCCTGGACCCTGTGGAGGCTGGAGGCTGCTGCCTTGTTTACTATTGATGAGAGAGAAGGAACATCTCACAGCAAAACCAAATTAACCCCCATCGCCTTCCTAAATTGTAATATTCTCCTCTAAAGCTTTTACCCTAGCAGGCTGAGTAGTAGCTTTCAGTAGTCTGCTGCGAGAAGCAACCTACACACCACTGTCAGAGGGCCCAGGACAAATGGTTTATAGCATCCCTCCTCGTGGCACGCCCTTTGCCCTGGAGCACTCTCTGGGCGCCCAGCATTGCCTGGGTCTGCCCTGTCCTTCCACTGAGAATGTCCAAGCTTATATCTCTGCACTGAAGAACATCAAATATATTTCATTTGTCAAAGTTATCTGTGTTAGGGCGTCCCTGGTGTCTCAGTGATAAAGAATCCACCTGCCAATGCAGGAGATGCAGGTTCGATCCTCGATCCAGGAATATCCCACATGCCACAGAGCAACTAAGCCCATGCACCACGACTATTGCACCTGTGCTCCAGAGCCTGGTGAGAGAGTCAATTCCTAGGCAGGTTGATAAGAAGTCCAGTGGTCCCCAAGGAGAGAGGGGTCTGGAATTCTCAAGGAGGAATAAAGGACAAATGTTTTTTTCCTCTACATTTCCTTAGGATTATATAACAATAATGTATCCTGCTTGGGGACAGTCTCTGGAAAAAACCTTTTGGCTAATCCTGTTTTCTTAAAATATCAGTTATGGGAGTGGGTCTAGTAAGGTCTTTACAACCTCCAGACATTCTTTTGATTCACTGTAATAAGTAATTAAAAAGTACACAACTCCATCGCTAACACTAGCGAGGGGGCACTCTTTCTGCATCCTTCTGATGTCTACATCAGAAGCTTTCTCTATCCCTTTTATACTTTAATAAAACTCTATCACACAAAAGCTCTGAGTGATCAAGCCTTGTCTCTGGCCCTGGATTGAATTCTCCTCCGGAGGCCAAGAATCCTGGCATCTTTCGTGGTTCAGCAGCAGCCTTTCACTGGGAGTCACAAAAAGAGAACCCACCGCAATGAGAAGCAAGAGGGTAGCCCCTGCTCGCTGCAACTAATGAAAATCCCACACATCAATGAAGACCTGGCACACCCAGAAATAAATAAATATATAAATTTTTTTTAAAAGTTATCTGTGTTAACAAAGTAGACCCTGACAAATAATTCCTGAATTGGGAAAGAGAACAAACGCATGGGGTATGCCTTCCCCAGGAGGGGGAATCACTTTTCCTGTGAGTCTATTACAGATAAGAGAGTGCTGAGGTGGGCTAGCAAGCACCACTCATGGTCTGTCCAGTCTAGGTCAATCCCATTTTCCATGCCCTTCTTTCTTCCTAAACTTCCACCCACTAATTTTAGCATCCACCAGTGGATCTTGCTTGCAACAATTATTACAGCGGTATTTGGTTCATAATGACCTATTTCCCTCATTCCTTCTACATTTAGTAATTGAAATTCTTCCATAAGAAAGAGCGGTCTGTGGTAATTGGTACTTTTAGCAAGTTCCCCAGCTGTCTTTGATGTGGCCAACTTGTTTGAAAATCTCTGGCCTGTAGCAACTGTTTTCATACTCTAGTATGAATTAGAATTACCTGGAGAGATTGCAAGGCTACAAACTCATAGGCTTTGCCCAACAGAATTTTGACTCAGGAGGCAAAGCTGCACTGTAGCTGAGAGCATAAACTTTGGAGTTGCCTGATTCAAATCCCACTATTACTAGCCCTGTGACTTTGGGCAGGTTGTTTCACTCTATAAGCATCCATTTCCTTAATTTTAAAATAGAGGTTAAATAAATGAATGTGCTATAGAGTGAGTAGTAAAAATTAAATAAGAATCTTTGCTCATCACTTAGCACAGTGCCAGGCATCAATAAGTGCTCAACAAAATGTTATCTGTTGCCACTATTGCTTGGAGGAGGTAAGAGTAATAAGAATTTGCATTTTTAACAAGGGACCAGGGGGTTTTGACATAGAATATCATACTTTGAGAAGGACTGTTCCTGAGCCTATTCCCACTCTCTTTGAGTTCTTCTAGAGACAGCATCCCCATCTTTGTGGTCCACATTCCGGGCAAGACTCCCAACCAGGCAGGTCTGCACGATGTTTACGGTGCCTTCCTGAAATGATGTCATCCCAGTAACTCCTGAGTTTACCTGACACTACTCTTAAAACAGAAAGCTTTAACATCAAATCCCTCCCACGCTGAAATCTTCATAAGACTTGCCCCAAACATTCAATGTTGCATCAGAAAACTATGGGTAATGCTTCTGGGGACAGGTGGGAAAAGGGCTTAGCTAACAAACCCATCAAAAATACTAAGAATCATGGCATCCGGTCCCATCATTTCATGGCAAATAGAAGGTGAAAAAGTGGAAACAGTGACAGATTACATTTTCTTGGGCTCCAAAATGACTGCGGATGTTGGCTGCAGCCATGAAATTAAAAGACGCTTGCTTCTTGGAAGGAAAACTATGACAAATCTAGCGTGTGTGCGGGCTCAGTTGCGACTGACTCTATGTGATCCTATGGACCATAGCCCACCAGGCTCCTCTGTCCATGGGATTCTTCAGGCAAGATCACTGGAGTGGGTTGCCGTGCCCTCCTCCAGGGGATCTTCCTGACCCAGGGATCAAACCTCAATCTCTTATGTCTCTCCTGCATTGGCAGGCAGGTGCTTTACCACTAGAGCTACCTGGGAAGCCCCATGACAAATTTAGACAGCATATTAAAAAGCAGAGACATTATTTTGCCAACAAAGGTCCATATAGTCAAATGGTTTTTCCAGTAATCATGTATGGATGTGAGAGTTGGACCATGAAGAAGGCTGAGTCCCTGAGAATTGGTGCTTTCAAATTGCGGTGCTGTAGAAGACTCTTGAGAGTCCCTTGGACCACAAGCCTTCTTGCAAAGCAGCCCATCCTAAAGGAAAATCAACTCTGAATATTCATTGGAAGGACTGATGCTGAAGTTGAAGCTCCAAAACTTTGGCCACCTGATATGAAGAGCCACCTCATTGGAAAAGACCCTGATGCTGGGAAAGATTGAAGACAAAAGGAGAAGAGAGCAGCAGAGGATGAGATGGTTAGATAGCATCAGTGAGTCAATAGATAAGAATTTGAGCAAACTTCAGGAGATAGTGAAAGACAGGGAAGCCAAGTGTGCTGCAGTTCATGGGGTTGCAAGGAGTAGGACACAACTTAGCAACTTGCCAACATTAACAGCTAACCAATGCTCTTTCTTTACAATACAAAATGTGCCAACTCAAGTGATCTGAATCCCCAAAGAGTCAAGCAGATAGACTCCTATAGTGTCCTGCTGCTTCCTCATATTTTCAGACATAAGTGCTCATGTCACAGTTATGTTGATATTTAGAAGAAAAGGGAACTAGCCCAGTAGCAATGACCATCTCTCTGTGTCCAAACTTTGATCTCTAAATACCATTTGATCAGGACTCCTTGAAGAAATGCCTAATTCCTATTCTGGGACAGGAAACAAACAAGATGAGTCCAGACCATCTTATCTTTCCAGAGAACAAGGAAGCAACCAAAGACTCCTGGGATCATGTCAAAAGAACTGAGGAGCTAATTCAAAAGGATTTCCTCTAGCAAAGGATGAGACTATTTTAAGCATAAACAAATGATTACAATTGAAAGATGCCAACATATACTTAAATCTACGAATTCATAATGGTAACTTCTCATTGGCCACATTTGGAGGTTCTAGGTTTAGTGAGTTGAATAGTGTCTCCGTTTTTAGTATATGTGCTGCCGAAGCAAGCACAGTGTCTCTGTTTTTTAAAGGTATGTTTAAGATATTCTTATTCAAACCCCACCACCTGTGAATATAACTTTATTGGAAATAGAGTCTTTGCAGATGTAATTAAATTAAAGGTTTTTTGTTTTTTTAATGAGATCATCGTGGATGAGGATGAACCTTAAATTCAATGAGAAGTCCTTAGGCAACAAGGAGAAACAGACAAAGAGAGAAAAAGACCCTGTGAAGATGAAGGCAGAGATGGGAGTTATGAAGTTATGCCAAGAAACGCAAAGGTTAGTCGGCAGCCACCAGAAAAAATGAGGTAGGGAGGAGACTCTTGCTCTGAGCTTCGGAAGGAAACAACCCTGCTGACAACTTGGCTTTGGACTTCCGGCCTCCAGAACCGCGAGGCAATACATCTCTGCCGTTTTAAGCTGCCACATTTGTGGTACTTTGCTTTGCAGCCCTAGCAAACGAGTACACTGGAGGACCAAATCATCATTTTGAAAACAGGTAAATAAAGGGAGTCATGTATTTAACCTCATCTTTCCTCTCCTGAAGGTATTTGAAGGTGCTCTAACAGTTGATGAGTAAAAATTCTTCTTTTATAGAGGAATTCCAACTAATAAATGCAGAAGAAATTCTAGAATTAGAGTACCACTATTTTGCAATCCCTAATGAAATAAATGGACAATGAATAAAAAGGCATGCATGCATGCTGAGTCGCTTCAGTCATGTCTGACTCTTTGCAACCCTATGGACTATACTCATCAAAGGCTGCTAAATCTATTAGGTGAAAGACTGCTGGGAAGCTTTATGGATAGATTAGCTGACCAAGCATGGACCCACTGATTGTTCTTCACATACAAAAAAGAAGACAATCAGACATTTTATGTTATGAGGCAATACCATTAGAAATATTGACTTAAAGCATCACCTATGAATTATTCTGACTAAAAAATTTAATCTGGGCTTAATCAGGTCTTTAAATTTCACCATTCATTTACAGGAAATACACACACACACAAAAACAAAACCTATTAAACACCACTGCAGGGTTGAAACTCAGATATATCCAGAATGAGGGAACTGCTGCATGACAAATGACCTGGTTTCTTCAACAATAAGTGGCAAGAGAAGAGGGAGGTATGAAAAGTTAGAGATTGAAAGAAGCATTAAAGACACATCAACCAAATGCAACATGTGACACTTTTCCAGACTTTTTACTTGAGTAATCCTGCTGTAAAAAGACATTAACCGGACAACTGGGGAAATTTGGCCTTTGACTGACTGTAAGATGATAGTAAGGTATTATTAATTTTTTTAGGTGTGATGATTGGTACTGTGGTTATTTTTTTTAGTGTGTATCTCTTAGGTGTATGGAAGAGTCTACAGATAAAATGATATAAAGGCTACGATTTGCTTGAAAATAATCCAGAGATTAATAGCAAAGGGACAGTATAGAGGACATAAGAGTACACAAATGTTGATGGTGGTCAGGGCAGGGTCGTGGGAAGGTTCGTTCTATTATTTTCTATATTGGATGATGTTTGAAAAATTTCATTATAGAATGTTAAATGTGGTCAGGGTAACAAAGTGGTCCAATGGGACTTACGTTAATGATCTGTTCATGGAGCAGTCTTATCATAATCTTCCTTCCCTCTGTGATCTGCCAGTAAAGGTAAGTAATGATTCTGGAAGAGAAGAAAAGAAAGAATGGCAGATGCTCTCTACAATGCTTTGCAGGAAAGAAAGAACGGCTGACACTCTCTCCAAGCCTTTGCAGGTTCCTAATTTCAACTGGGTAGCCACTCGTTTAGGAATTCGTTTATTTGCTTACAGATGGATGTTGGCCCAGCCAGTGTTCCTGCAAAGTTGTATCTGAGTGACTTAGAGGTTAACTTCATTATAGCAATAGTTCTCAGGATTCTATACATAAATCACCTGAGAGGTGGAGAAAAGACTCCTGCCGTGGCCCCTCCTCAGATCAATTAATTGAGCTTTTTTGAGCATGAGGACAGGTATCAGGTATCTTTCCTTCTTTTTATTGCTTTATTGAGGCATGGTTGACATACTACAAAATGTACTCATTTTGAGTGTAGTTCAGTGAGCTTTAGTTAATTCATATAGTTATACAAACTTTACCCCAATCTAGTTTTACTTTAATTTTTTTAATTGAGATGGAATTGACATATAACATTAAGGTGTTGATTTGACACATCTATATATTGCAATATGATTACCACCATGATGTTAGCTAACACTCCCTCATGTCACAGGATTATTATTTCTTTTTCTGTGGTGAAAACATTTAACAGTATTTTTATTATTATTTATTTATTTGGGGGGCTTCCCTGGTGGCTCATTGGTAAAGAATCTTCTGGTCAAGCAGGAGATCTGAGTTCAATCCCTGGATCCAGACAATCCCCTGGAGAAGGAAATTGCAACCCACTCCAGTATTCTTGCCTGGGAAATCCCATGGACAGAGAAGCCTGATAGGCTACCGTCCCTGGGGTCACAAAAGAGTCAGACACAACTTAGGGACTAAACAACAACAAACAACAAGTTTGTTTATTTTTGACTATGTTAGGTCTCGGTTGCTGCACAAAGGCTTTCTCTCTAGTTGCAGTGCACAAGCTTCTCATTGCAATGGCTTCTCTTGTTGCAGAGTACGGATTTCAGTAGTTGTGGCATACAGGCTTTGTTGCCCCAAGGCATTTGGAATCTTTCCAGACCAGGGATCAAACCTGTGTCTCCTGAATTGGCAGGCAGATTCCCAACCACTGGACCACCAGGGAAGTTCTTAACAGTATTTTAAACTTATTTCACTTATTTATATATTGGCCGCATCGCTTGGCTTGTGAGATTTCAGTTCTCACACCTGGGACTGAACCTGGGCACAGCAGTGAAAGCCCAGAATCCATACCCCTAGGCCACCAGGGAACTCCTGAGCAGTATTTTTTCACGTATATGATTCTAATGTGTAACCAGAGTTTGGGAATATGGACAGTGCTATTCAAACTTCCCTATGGTACAGACTTCCTGGGATTTTGTTAAAATGCAGATGCTATAGGTCAGGGTAGGGTCTGAGAGTTTGCATTTCTCACAAGCTCCCCAGGGAGTTGAAAGTTTGGAAGAGCAAGACAGAAGAACTTCCTATTTTAAGTAAGGGAGCTAAAGGCAAACCGGTGTTGGGAGGGAGAGCCTGACCAAGAGCTTGCAGACCCAGGTTCCAGCCTCCTCTACAATAAATAGACTCTACAGCATGGGAACTATCCCTGTCTCTGCAAGGCTTCTCACTTCCACCTGTAAGATCCAGGGGTCACTCAACAATTGGCATCAGCTGGCTCCACTAGTCTGTGATGTTGAGTTGTGTCTCTACGTGAGGACAGACAAGTTCAGCCATCAGAATTTGGCTTCTAAAGAGGAGCAGCCGTCAGCAGACCAACTGTTCCTGCAGGAAAAGGAGTCCAGTCTTGGCAGATCTTCCGCTTTTTCACAAGAAGTTAGAAATCATTTTAAAATTTGAAAATGAAAGTATGCTAACCCATATATCCATAACACCCAACTCACTTTAAGATAGCCACAACCTCAGAAAGAATCACACAGTAATTTCCCTAAGCATTCTCACACCCAGTTTTTTCTTTTTGTTTTCATGTTAATTCTTAAGACGGGGCAGAGCAGGTGTTCCTTTTTTCATAAACAGACCCCAAAAAGGGACAAGATATTAAATAACTTCTAGAAAAATTCAAGGGCAGAGTTGGGATGGCACAGAACACTGAGCTACGCTGCAGCCTTCGCCTTCCCACCAAACACCCGCCCCGCCCAAGCCTAGCTGCCCACATGTTGAGTTGATGCAGTGTTTCCCCCTCTAGTTTTCAGAAGAACCCCACTTACAAGACAATGAGGGTGAGGATGAAGAAGAAATGAACGCTCCCGATGAGGTTCTGGTAGATCCAAACAACCCACAGGTAGCTGGGCCTTTTATTCAGGGTGTCGATCCAGCTGTAGATGGACTCAATGAAGAAGTGCAGACCTCGAAATGGACCACAATCAGCTGAAGGTTTCAATCTGATAAAACAAGGGACAGGGGAACATCTCTAGTGCCAGACTCAGGTATAGTTTTTCTAGAATAGCCCAGTCCTTTCTGGGCTCTTAACCTGGAACCAGTGATCCTTACCTGCTCCATCTACATCCCCTTCCAAAGCAAGCCCTCTCTCTCACAGGCCCGGCCGGCGTGTTTTGTCCTCATGACCTTATTCTGAGGACCAGCTTTTGGACAGCAGTATCACTTGATCCAACTGTCACCCATCCAAAGACCAGGCTGTGACCTCAGCCATGTCCTGGCACAAAGAAATGAACTGGGGCGATAGGACTCTCTTCCTTAGGAACTTGAACTAAGAAATATGAAGAGGGAAGGCTGTAATCTAGGGAAGCTAGAGCTGTAATAATGGCCACATGAAGTCAGTTGTGAACAAGCAGAAACTAGAAGAACTAGTTAGGAAGAGAGAAAAGAAAGGCAACACGGTGAACAGCTGAGAACATCACGTAACAGAGGAGCCTGCCCTGAAGCTGCCAAGTTCCAAAGTTCTACAAGTATTCTAAAAAGTCAAGTGCTCAGGGCTGGTGCCCTGGGAAGACCCAGAGGGATGGGATCGGGATGGGGAACACATGTAAATCTATGGCTGATTCATGTCAATGTATGGCAAAAACCACTACAATATTGTAAAATAATTAGCCTCCAACTAATAAAAATAAATGGAAAAAAATTTTTTTAAAAGTCAACTCCCTTGTGCATTCATTTGCTTGTTCATTTGACAAAGGCCCACTGCACTTGTAACTGAGGCAGGAGATAGATGGGCTCCAGGCTAGACATTTACAACTAGCCTCCTGTTTATATTTCTCGAGGCAAGACACAGATGGGCTCCAGGTGAGACATTTACACTCAGCCTTCTGTTTACACATCCAGATAGAATAACAACAGCAACAGGGTAAATACCTGGACTTTGTCTCCAGTGGATACTTTAAGAGAACAATAATGGTAAGGGCTGGAAAAGAAAATGGCAACTCCAGGTGCTCTCACCTGGAGAATCCCCATGGACAGGGGAGCCTGGCGGGCTACAGTCCACGGGATCCCAAAAGAGTAGGACACGACTAAAGTGACTTAGCACACACGCAATGGCAAAGGCAGATAGGAGCTGAGTCTTGCCCAGATAAAAGATAAAGAGACCACATTTTCTCATTCTTGAGGTCAAGGAGACCTCCCCAACCACACATCTGCAGAAGGCTCCTTGGGGTTAAAAAGGAGGGGGCACCACCCCGTAATAGGTGATGCCAAGCCTCCCACAGGCCTCTGTGCTGGAATCCATCTTGCCTAAAAGGTGCGCACGCACGTTGGGGAAAGTCCCAGGGCAGGTGAGGTATAGAAAAAGAAATAAGACAATTGGCCAAAGGTAAACAAAGACCCAGAAAAAATGCCCTATATAAATGATTTAACCTCCTCTTTACTGGAGGAAGCTCATACCCTTTCTCTCCATGTATGTATCTCTGCCTGCCTTTATCTTAAATTTAAAAAAATTGTTTCTCTGTGTGCACTCCCACTTACTGTACTGCATCTCTAATAATAAACTTTGTACAGTTTTTTTTTTTTGGTAGGAAAAAACTGTATTTTTATAGTTTTTGCCTCCTTAAAACATTCTTGCTTTCAAACATGACGAGAGCCAGGGGAACTTTGCTTCTAGCCTCTAGCCCTTGCTGGTCTAACAGCTAGGATTTCTGCTTTTCACCCAGGCTACCCAGGTTCAATTCCTGGGCAGGGAACTAAGATCCTGCTTCAAGCTACCACTCACTGCTGTCTCCTCAAGATCAGTAGCAGGCACTGTGCTAGATACTAAGCCCTCGCGAACCCACAGTAAACAGGGCAGACATGATACCTTCCCTCCCAGGTTCTAATGGGAAAGATGGTCAAACAGTGAGTGTACAATTAAACAAAGATCCAAAGGCATTCCTGGCGTGAATTAGGAAATGAAGAAAGGAAACCGCCCTGAGAGAGAAAGGGAAGAGAAGAGAATGCACAGAAGATGGGGATGGTCATGAAGGTCAGATTTTCAACAGGACTTTTCAGCTGAGAGAGGAGAGAAGGTCAAGCAAATAGAGCAGGGAGACCGCTTCAAAGAGATGACCCTGAACAGACTGGGAGGCTGGGGAAGGATGCAGCTATGGGAAAGTGAGGTTGCAGGGGTAAGAGGGAGCCTGACCAGACGGGGCCTTTCAGTTCATCAGAGGAAGTTCTGTTCTCTGTGTGGAGACCAGGCTTCTCCCCAGCTGGGAACCTGCGGGACCTGGAGGAAGCGAGGGGTCTGCGCCAGTCAAGACATGGCACCTGACAGGTGGTGACCAAACTTGGATGTATTCCTCCCTTGGTCAAAGCATCTGTTGGTTACCAAGGGAACTTGGGCTAAACACTGAATGAAGCTTGTCTTTTTATTCTGATCTGTAACATCTGGGGCCTTACTAATGCTAGAGAGACTGCCTTTCCCAGGGCTAGCCTACAAAGCACGTCTTTCATATGCAAACCAATGAGTCCCCGAGCCCACATCCCACCCCACCTCCTCTCTCAAGCTCTCACACTCTGGGCCATTGTTCCTCTGCCCCCACCAACCCAGCGCAAGGTACCAGACAACCCCAGATGGCCCCTACATCCCAGAGCCCAATGAGATTATTCACATTTGCCCCTCCTAAGCATGTTGACCTTGCCTTGCCATCTCCTCCCACTGAAACCACAGTTAAAGACTTCTGCCCACATTTACTACTCTCTCTCTCTGCCTCCGACAGACGCCGGTGTCTCCTCCCCACATGGCCCCCATGGTGAGACAAGTCCCCTCCTCTTGGGGTCTGTATTTGTTGTTGCTGTTATTCAATGACTTGGCCACATCCGATTCTTTGCAACCCCATGGACTGCAGAACGCCAGGCTTCCCTGTCCTTCGTTATCTCCTGGAGTCTGCTCAAACTCATGTCCATTGAGTCAGTGATGCCAGCCAACCATCTCATCCTCTGTTGTCCCCTTCTCCTGCCTTTAATCTTTCCCAGCATCAGAGTCTTTTCCAATGAGTTGGCTCTTCACATCAGGCAGCCAAAATATTGGAGCATCTGCTTAAGCATCAGTCCTTCCAGTGAATATTCAGAGTTGATTTCCTTTAGGATTGACTGGTTTGACTCTCTGCCGTCCAGCCAGTCAGTTTGGTCATTCAGTCATGTCCAACTCTTTGCAATCCCATGGACTGCAGCACGCCAGGCTTCCCTGTCCTTCATTATCTCCTGGAGTCTGCTCAAACTCATGTCCATTGAGTCAGTAATGTCATCCATCCAACCATCTCATCCTCTGTCAGCCCCTTCTCCTCCTGCCTTCAACCTTCCCAGCATCAAGGTCTTTATCAACGAGTTAGTTCTTCACATCAGGTGGCCAAAGTATTGGAAATTCAGCTCCAGCATCAGTCCCTCCAATGAATATTCGGGACTGATCTCCTTTAGAATGGACTGTTTTGATATCCTTCCAGGCCAAGGGACTCATTGTTTGCTGTCTAAACAATGGAAACAGAGACTTTATTTTGTTGGTGGGGGGGGGGCTCCAAAATCACTGCAGACTGTGACTGCAGCCATGAAATTAAGATGCTTGCTCTTTGGAAGAAAAGCTATGACAAAACTAGACAGCATATTAAAAAGCAGAGACATTACTTTGCCAACAAAGGTCCATCTAGTCAAAGCTATGGGTTTTCCAGTAGTCATGTATGGATGTGAGAGTTGGACTATAAAGAAAGCTGAACATTGAAAAATTGATGCTTTTGAACTGTGGTGTTGGAGAAGACTCTTGAGAGTCCTTTGGACAGTAAGGAGATCAAACCAGTCAATCCTAAAGGAAATTAGTCCTGAATATTCATTGGAAGGACTGACGCTGAAGTTGAAACTCCAATACTTTGGCCACCTGATAGGAAGAACTGACTCATTGGTAAAGACCTCGATGCTGGGAAAGATTGAAGGCAAGAGGAGAAGGGGACGACAGAGGATGAAACAGTTGGATGGCATCACTGACCTGATGGACATGAGTTTGAGCAAGCTCTCAAAGTTGGTGATGGACAGCGAAGCCTCACGTGCTGCAGTCTGTGGGGTTGCAAGGAGTTGGACATGACTGAGCGACTGAACTGGACTGAACTGAGGTTGGTTATAGCTCTCATCAAGAAAATGAAAGTGAGGTTGGGGGGTAAGAAGAAGCCTGACCAGACGGGCCTTTCAGTTCATTAGAGGACATTCTGTTCTCTGTGTGGAGACTTGGCTTCTCCCCAGCTGGGAACCTGCATGACCTGGAGGAAGTGAGGGGGCTGTGCCAGTCAAGACGGGGCACCTGACAGGTGGTGACCAAACTCGGATGTATTAATCCCTAGGTCATAGCATCTGTTGGTTACCAAGGGAACTTGGTAGGCAGATGACACCACCCTAATGGCAGAAAGAGAGAGGCTGTCCAAGAGACTCTCAAGAGTCTTCTCCAACACCACAGTTCAAAATCATCAATTCTTCAGTGTTCAGCCTTCTTTATGGTCCACCTCCCACATCCATACATGACTACTGGAAAAATCATAGCTTTGACTATATGGACTTTTGTCTGCTTTTTAATATGCTCTCTAGGTTGGTCATAGCTTTTCTTCCAAGGAGCAGCTGTCTTCTAATTTCATGGCTGCAGTCACCATCTGCAGTGATTTTGGAGCCCAGGAAAATAAAGTCTCTCACTGTTTCCATTGATCCCCCATCTATTTGCCATGAAGTGATGGGACTAGATGCCATGATCTTAGTTTTCTGAATGCTGAGTTTTAAGCCAACTTTTTCACTCTCCTCTTTCACCGTCATCAAAAGACTCTTTAGTTCTTCTCTTTCTGCCATAAGGGTGATGTCATCTGCCTATTTGAAGTTATTGATATTTCTCCTGGCAGTCTAGATTCCAGCTTGTGCTTCATCCAGCCCAGCGTTTCTCATGATGTACTCTGCATGAAGTATCTAAAGTAGTCCAAATCATAGAAACAAAGTAGAAAGTGCTGGGAGGACAGAGGAGGGGAGAGGGAAAATTACAGAGTTTGGCAAGTATAGGCTTTCATTTTCACAGGATGAAGAAGTTCCAGAAACCTGTTGCTAAACAATGTGAAATACTTAACTCTACTGAACTACACACTTTTACATAAGATGGCTAAAATTCCAGCTTGTGATTCATCCAGTCCAGCATTTCACATGATGTACTCTGCATATAAGTTAAATAAGCAGGGTGACAATATACAGCCTTGATGGACTCCTTTCCCAATTTTGAACCAGTTCGTTGTTCCATGTCTGGTTCTAACTGTTGCTTCTTGACTAATTATTTTTTCAGTGACAGTTGTCTTCTTATCTGTTGGTCTTACTATACCTGAAGAATAATAAAACCTACATTTTAAAACACCCCCTCCTCCAAGGCTGCCATCTCCTACCTCCAGATGGTGATGGCCAGGGTGCACAGGACCCCAGTGAAGGATGGGAAGAAGAGCAGAAAGATGAAGAAAGTCATCATCTGCGAGGCCTGCCATGCTTTGCTCGGAGGCTGGAAATTCATCATCAGGCTGATCTGAAGAAAGAGATGCAGTCACCTCCCTTGTGCAGCCAGAGGAGCAGGCCAAGGGGACCCCAGCTAGACACCAGTTCCCTGATACCCTTCCCAGGCCCCCCGCCCCATTCCAACCAGCACTGGGTCATACGGGACAGCAAAGCCAATTGGTTCCAGCTTCAGACTGACTCACATTTTTGACGTAAAACATGATGAAAAGAGTAATCATTTGGATAAAGGGCAGCAGAGGGCAGAAGAAGGTTCCAATCCTATGAGAGAGTGGGGATGCGCATCAGAGATCAGGGAAGGTGCAAGGAATGGGTTAATGACGGGGGTGGGGGAAAGGGCGAGGGTGTTACGGGCTGCAATGTGTCCCCTCCAAACCCACATGTTGAAGTCGTAACCCCAATACCTGAGAATGTGTTTGGAGATAGGGCCTTAAAAGAGATAATTAAGGTAAAATGAGGTCACTAACCTCATGTGGGCCCTAACAGACACACAGAGGGAAGAAGACCATGTGAGGATACAGGGTGAAGGCGCCATCTTCAGGCCAAGGATGGAGGCCTCAGATGAAGTCAACCCTGCCAACACCTTGCTTGGATTTCAAGCCTCCGGAATTGTGAGAAAATAAATTTGTGCGGTTTATTGTTTAATAAATAGCCACCATTTAAAGTACCTGTGGTACTTTATTATCAAAGCCCTAGAAAACTCATACAGAAGGGGACTGCTTCCAACACGGCAACACGGCAAATCCCTACCATATCCAGAATCCGCAGTTCTAGGAAAGAGATTCTGCAGAGAACGTTACCCACACGGCCATTAGTTAAACCCCCAGATGGCCTTTGGGCAGCCCTCACCCAGGTGTTCCAAATGTGGGATGTGAACTCTCCCTCCTCATCTGGCATTCAAGAAGGCCTGAAGTCCATCCAGGACAGGCATTAAACTGCATTGTTACAAATGAGAAGGGCCCTCCCTCTTTAACTCTCCCCAGTGCTGCTCAGGCCAAAAGAAAATCTCAGCTTGGGTACTAATGTCTTTAAGTCCTAATACTTGCCAACCTCCTTAAAAAAAAAAAAAAAGAGGCAGTGTTTAGATTGAGAGCCTTGATAGCAGCATCTAGCTAGAATTTTACTTTTTATGATGGGTTTGATTTTATTTTTCAAATGACTTGCAATTTAAGTCAAATGATATAATTTTCCATTGATGATGATAAAATAAAGACTCATTAAAATGTATTCAAGTTTATAAAAAGCACTCAACATAAAAGAGAAAATGAAGTTAAAAACAGTCCAGTGATAGACAAGCCAAACAAAATAGGAAGGCTGGTTAAGATGGTAAATTTTAGGTTATGTGTTTTGTACTACAAATTTTAAAAAAGAGCCCTTAAAAAGATAACAACAGTCATATAATATCCCTACCTATAAACATTTCTGAGTCAGTTACTCGCCAAGCACTTAATGCACGCATTTTCTCACTTAATCCTCATCAAAATTCTATAACGTAGATGCTACTATTTCCCCCATTAACAGATTAGAAAACTCAGGTTTAGAGGGAGTTTATGTATAACTTGCCCAGTGGCATCCTATTCACTGGGTAAAAGGACTTTGTAAACTGTCCAGTAGCCAGTGGCGTCCTGGCAGTAAGCAAATGCACCACCTAAACGACACAAAGAAAAAGTCTTCACCACCTCCGAAAATAAACTCATTGACATTACTGAGTTATCTGCAGAGAGCCAAATCACCCAGGGCAACTTTAAAGAGTTGGAAAACAAGGCGCTTTACAGTTGTATGGCCTATTTGAGATGGCAGAGCAGATTTCTTATATCACTTGACTTAATCGTCAACTAAGTCGAAGGCAGCTCTTATTATGTGCATTTGACAGATGAGGAGACTGAGGCTCAGAGAAGTTCAGTGACCTCAATGAGTAGAAGAGCCAGCCCCACAATCCAAGTTTATCCAGATTGCCCTTCAGGTTGGGGTCCCTGCTCCGTGTCAATTCTTGGCTGGAATCCTCATAAAGGAAGAGAATATTCTGGGACACGAATGCATGGTCCTCAGACTGGCTAGATTTGGTATCACCTGTGCAGCTTTGAAAAACAACAAATTCTGGGCATTGCCACCAAAACTCCAAGTTCATAGTCAGGTGAGAACCACTGAGCAAACCAAAGATTTCAAAACTTACCACACCAGAGTTTGTGCATAGATGAGTTCTAACACATTTCTGGCAATGTCAAACTCCGGTAAGCCAAGACTTTTGATAAGCCGCATCCCAATGATTCTGTGAAAATATGATAAAGTTAATACACAAACAATCAGTTGCCTCCTTCAAAAAATTTCCCACAATCAACAAAGGAGGACAAACTTTCACCAGTTTGGAATAAAGTTATGACTTTATTCCAAGTTTTTGAAAAGTTTTTGAAAAGTTTTTGCAAGTTTTTGAAAAGTTCCAAGTATGAGCAAGTTTTAGAAGAAATAATTGAGGGAATCATGGGAAAATGGAATTAACACAAAGGATTCAAGTGGAGATACTGCTAAAGTGGTTCAAAAATTTCTAGAGAACATTATTTACATTATCTCACCTACTACTTAAACAGATAACTAATTATTAATAGGTTTACTAAAATAGGTATTATTTAAATGAGATTATTTAAATTACCCCACCTATTATCTTCTTTATACCACTTTTTGCTTTTAAATCTTTATTTCTTTTAAACCTTTATTTTAAATCTATATTTAAACTCGCGCCTCTCAACCCAAATAAACTAAAAAATTCTCAATGTTCAGTTACTGCTATTGAGTTAATGGTGTTTCCCTGTTTTCTAAATCCACAAGGAGGAAACCTAGGTTGCCATTTATTCTGAAGAAAGTTGAGACCACTTTGATTTTTTTTCATACAGAAGAATTGCCCAAAAAAACCTGCTATAAAAGACAAACAAACAAAATAACAACAACAAAAACTTTCTCACCTTTATGTCCAGACTCTGGACAGAGGCTGAACTAAACATGGGTTAGAGGAGACTGAGTGAGGAAATTTGGCATTCAACCCACTGAGGAAGGAATCAGAATTACGTCATGCCATCTTATTACCATGGCAGCTTGTGAAATACATAAATGTCTATTAGGAATGAGATGCTCATAATATTATTATAAAATAAATGCATAAATAAATGAGGACCATGCATGGGCCAATGATGATATTGCCCCAATCCTGCACCCTTGGGGTCTAAATTAAAAATTAATGCATTAATTAAATTCAATGAAAACAATGAGATAAATCTATAGATACAAACATGGAAAGATGACAAGGAATTCTCACTGTATAATCTCCATAGCAGTTTTGCAATTTAGCACGCACACATGCACACACACACAAAACAGGACGTGCATAGAAAATCTGGAAGAATATACATACACTAGAAGATTAAAATGGTATCTATGGTAGATACGATTTCAAATGACTCACTTTCTGTGTTTCATTTATAGAACTTTCTTTCTCAGAGCTTATAAAGGGCCAGTTGAACTAAATGAACTTTGACAACAGAACTGTCAAGGTGAAATTTCAGTTAATTCAGAAGAAAACAATATTCCTATGGACAATAGGCAGACTTAGGACAATGTACACTTAGAATACAGAAGGGACCCATACTTCCCGCTCAGCCAATGCTATGGCTCTGGTTACAACAGCAGGTGCTAATTACTCAAGACAGACAAATATTTACCTTCTCAGAAACTCCCCCAGGAGGGAATCAGCTAAAGAGAACAGAAAATCCATCAGCAGGAGCCGGTAGATTTCTTGGCCAATGAGGGTTTCCCAACACTGGAAAGCAACAGCAAATAAGAGTTGGGGTGTGGGAGGAGGCTGCTGCCATCTGTTCCTGCCCCCCCCTCCACCCCCCCGGTCTCATAAGAATGGAGTTGGCAGCTTAGTTTGATCGAGCCTTGGAGTGCGCAGAAAATCAGACCCACTCCCATCGGAAATGCATCTCTAGGCTGAGTTTATTTTTGAATGTTTATTATCTTTCTGTGTGCCTTCTTCCTCCATTAAGGCTTGCCCTCCTCATGTACCCAGACTTTCCCATCTCACTATCTCTCCTCCTTAACACTTTTCATCTTTGTCCTATGCCCTCTGGATCCTGCTTTTTTAAGCCAGGAAGAGCAGGAGGTGTCAATGGCTAATATTGCCTCCATTCCTTTCGCTTATTAACCTTGTGAAAAGTCAATATCTTTAAAATTTTTTTTTTAATTTTACTTTTATTTATACTTTCTCTGACATGTTTCTTTTCTTTATTTATATTGAAGCTTCTGATTTATATCTTTTTCTTCTCTGTCTAAAGGACTTCTTTAAACCTTTCTTGTTTGGAAGGTCTGCTGGAAATGATTTCCCGCAGTTTTTGTTTTTCTGAGAAGGTCTTTATTTCTGTTTCACTTTTGAGGGATAGTTTAATCAGATATGGAAATCTTGATTGTTGTATTTTTTATTTCAACACTTAAGAATTGTCCTAGACCCTCAAAAAATAATTTTTGAGTACTATGAAAAGTAACCCCCTGCATTTTCCTATTCTTTATCCTCTATAGGTAAAGTTTTAAGAAATATTCTAGTTTTTTTAAGGCTTGCTCTTTGTTGTTAGTTTTCTGTGATGCTATCTGATGTGACAAGTTGGAGTTTTTTTAATTTTTAATTTATTTACTTCTTTCTTTGGGTGTTCTCTTGCTCAGTGTTCTTTAAGTTTCCTGTTTCTATGGTTTTCAGACTTTCAATAATTTTAAAATAATTTGTATCTTCTTGATTAAGAAAGTGGCCTAGAGGTGTAGCAGATTGGCACAAACAGGAAGGTTGAAATGGTTAGTTTTTGGAGTTAGTTACTTCTGTAGGAAGCCCAAGGATGGACGAAGGATGGAAGGGTGAATAGATGGATGGATGGATAGATGAATCGAGGGGTAAGTAGATGGACAGATGGTTGGGAAAAATAAAATGGTATCTACTGTAACATCATAGGCAGAAACTGTGGAGAAACTCAATTCCTCCCTGATGGTCAAAGCCAAGCTGAAAGCCAAACGGCATAGAAATCTTACCTCTTCACTATTCAGGGCCACAATGTTGAGCCAATAGTAACACAGAATTCCAATGATTGATATTTTCAGAAAGATATTTCTAAAAAATGAAGAGAAAACAACTATCATTACTTCCATGGCCGTCGTGGGAGATGTTTGCTGGTATTTCATTTGGGGCACGTGGTAGGATGGAAGTTCCTGCCCCCTGTGGTTATGCACTTTGAGTTGCTCAGTTGTGCCCAACTCTTTGCGACCCCATGAACTGCAGCCCGCCAGGCTCCTCTGTCCATGGGGATTCTCCAGGCAAGAATACTGGAGTGGGTTTCCATTTTCTCCTCCAGGGGATTTTCCCAACCCAAGGATTGAGCCCAGGTCTCCCATGTTGCAGGCAGATTCTTTACTCTCTGAGCCACCAGGGAAGCCCCCTGTGGTTGGGGGGTGTGGCGTGCATATCGCTAGTCCTGGCAAATGAGCTGTGAGCATAAACAATGCGTGTCACCCTGTGTCACTTCTAGACTAGAGAATTTAAATGCCAGTGAGACTTACCATCTTCCCTCCAGAATGACAATCAGCCTGAATCCCTGAGTAACTAACATAAGCAGAATTTCCCTGCCAATCCACAAGGGCGTGCAACATGAACAAGAAATAAATACTTGTGTTCTAAACCACTGTGAGTGTGGAGTGGGGATGGGGGTTGCACAGATGTTTGTTACCACAGTTTAACCTTGTTTATTCTGACTGATACACTCTCTTTTGGGCATATTCAAACTATCTGATTTCACTTCTCACCGTAATAGTAGTATAGTATACATACACACTATTCGTCAGGTGCCACCAGGGACAGTAAGCATGCTACACACTTTATCGCATCATCCCTCTTAATCATTCTAGCTCTATCATCAGGTAGATAGTATTTTATGCCCATCTTACTGATGAGGAAACTGAAGCACAGAGAGATGAAATAACTTGTACAAGATCACACGGATTGCTTAGGGGCATGACAAAGGTTGAAAACAAGGACCACCTGATTTAACAGCCTGAGTTTTTAAACCTAGTCGTTTTGCCTAAATCAATAACCGCTAGTGTTAAGAGGTCTTCAGCACTGATGTGCCAAGAACCATGTACCAATACACCAGTCGTTTTCAAAGTATGGTCCGCAGACCAGCACTATCATCTGTAATCTTGTTAGAAAGGCAAATTTTCTGGCCCTCTCCCAGATCTTCTGAATCAGACACTCTGGTCTAGGGCCCAGCAATCCCTCCAGGCAATTCTGGTGCAGGTTAAAGGTTGAGAACCATTAGACAAAACAACAACACAGTGAAGGAAGGGACAGGATTTGCCTTTTTCAACACTAGATCCCAAATCTCTTACCCATGCCTAGCCTCTAGTAGACTCTCAATATCTACTGGATTGATGTTTTAATGTACAGTGATATTATCATTTATGATAAGAAATATGCATTTGGTCTTCTTGTCCTTTTCTGGCACTGAGCTCCTAAAACCTTTGGAATTTCCTAAGTGAGGAGAGCTATCAAGGTGTCTTTTGTTATATTAATGTGACTGTTGGGAAGCCCCTAGGTCTACTAAGGTAAGGGCCCGGTTGCCGTGACAACCAATCCTGTGATTTAGAGGATCTGAACTCAGCGTGCCTACTGCAGACTCCAGGGAGGAGAGAGGGGCTGGAGATTGAATTTACTGGGCTTCTCTGATGGCTCAGTGGGTAAGGAATCTGCCTGTAATGCAGGAGACCTGGGTTCGATCCCTGAGTTGGGAAGATCCCCTGGAGGAGGGCAGGGCAACCCACTCCAGTATTCTTGTCTGGAGAATCCCCATAGACAGAGAAGCCTGGCAGGCTACAGTCTATAGGGTTGCAAAGAGTCAGACACGACTGAGCTACTAATCACAGGCAGAACCAGCGGCCATTTAATCAGCCACGCATATGTGATGAAGCCTCCACAAAAACTCAAAAGGAGGGGGTTCTGTGAGCTTCTGGCTTATTGACAGGATGGTATTTGGGAGACTGAAAATCTCAGAAAGGGCAAGGAAGCTCCACATTCCACAGACTTTGCCCTACACATCTCTTCTACCTGGCTGTTCTTGGGTTATAGCTTTTTATAATAAAGCAGTAATCTCATAAGTAAAGTGTTTCCCTGAGTCATGTGAGCTGTTCTAGCAAATTCTCAAACCTGAGGAGGGGGTCATTGGAACCTCCTGTCTGTAGTTGGTTGGTCAGAAGCCCAGGGGACAATGTGGATTTGTGACTGGTACCAGAAGAGGAGGTGGGGGCAGTCCTGTGGGGCTGAGCCTTACCCTGTGGGATTCTGACTCTACCTTCAGGTACATAGTGTCAGAGTTGAATTAAACTGTAGGACACCCATCTGCGTGTATTGGAGAATGACTTGGTGGTGTGGGAAAACACCACATGTCAGAACTGGTGTCAGAACTTAAATACATTAACTGCAGTGTAACTCCAGGTTAAACCTATTTCTGAGCTTTCTTATTTTCTCTCCATATAGAGAAGATTTTTAATATTTTGTGAAGCAACACATAGGGCTAATATATATTAAAAGATAATGAATTTCTCTTGGGATCAGAAAAATGCAAATTAAATAAAGTGATTAGATCAAAATGACACGCTGAGCATTGAAGCCTATTACCTATCATACTGAACCTATCACCTCTATATTCAAGTTCTATTGAAATGATAAAAAAAAAAAGTCAAAAGCTAAAGATCCATAAAGCAGTGGAAAACAAAAAAGTCATCATGAATAGACCAGAAATATAGAGGAATTTATGGAAAATAGAAAGCAGAAATAAAGGGCACAAAGATTAAAATATGAAAAGGGGTCAGTGAAGAAGACTGGAGAAAACCCAATTTAAAACAAATTTGGGAGAAGACTGCCTCAGAGGTGGTGGTAGTTCTGAAGACGCCTGGAACTTAGAGACAGCAGATACAAAGTGTCTGGAAAGAACAAAGGGGTGATTGTTTGGTGATGCCAGATGTCAGAAACCCTCAAAGCCATACCTGTAGACCTCAGAAGAGGTGGTTAGAATATGGAGTCCTTGGCCCATGCAAATCAACATTCAAATAGAAAGGCAAAATTAAAAATATGTGGGAACCTGGAAGTACTTAAAAAGTTGACCATCCCAAGATCTACTCTAAAATAACGTCTTACCATCTCTCACAAAAGGAGGACATTGTAAGTAGGATACGTTTAACAGACCCTGGTGAGCAGAGAAGCCAGTGTGCTGCTCGACTGTACACTGAAAATGGTTTAAACTTTTTTAAACCACAATAAAAAATATCCCAATTGTTTCTAACCATTGAGGGGAGGCGCCCAGAGGTGTTGTGTGGGTAGAAAGGAAGGCTTTCTAAAATTTCTTTCTTCAGGAAAATAATACTTGTATCTATATGTGCTCAGGGCTCCCTCATGTCTGACTATGCAACCCGAAGAGCTGTAGCCCATCAGGCTCCTCCATCCATGGAAATTTCCAGGCAAGAACATACTGGAGTGGAGTGCCATTTCCTACATGCCCTTGAGCAAAGCCATGGCAACCCACTCCAGTATCCTTGCCTGGAGAATCCCATGGACAGAGAAGCCTGGTGGGCTACAATCCATAGGGTTGCCAAGAGTCAGACATGAATATGGTGACTTAGCACGCACACACCATCTTCTATTCCTTACGGTTCATAGCTCTTCAAATAAAAATGAACTCTGGACCTATCTATCTAATACATATATAGATAACTCTAAACATTAACCTAAAGTCAGTCAACATTTTCTGTGAAGGGCCAGACAGTTAATATTTTTGGCCTTGGAAACCATACAGTTTGTGTCCCAACTCTGTAGTTGTAGCAGGAATGGAGTCATAGATGATATGTCACCAGTGGACATGGTTGCATTCCAATGAGACTTTATTTATGAAAATGGGAGGCAGGCTGGGCCTGCAGGCTGTTGTTTGCTAACTCCTGATCTAAAATAATAATTATATATGTGTGTGTGTGTGTGTGTGTGTGTGTTTTAAAACATGCTTGTTACAAATTTAAGGGTAATAGAAATGTTTAAGATTTGTATGAAGAGACTATAAGCATAAACATAAGTATAGATGTGCTATTCCAGGAAGAAGGAATGGCCAGTGGAAAGGTGCTGAGCTGGGCATACAGTTTGTGAACAATGAGAAGGCGAGTGAGGCTGGGGTCACTGAGGAAGGGGAAAGAGGTAGAAAATAAAACTGAAGAACTGACCAGGAGCCAGCTCTCAGAGGCAATGGTAAAGTAAGGACTCTGAAATTGATCAGTACAAAAAAGTCAATCTGGTAGTTCAGCCTCATCACTATAAACACCACCATAACCAGGAAATGGTCAGGGTACTAGCCAAGAAGAAGCAATAAAGAAAACAATTTGGATAGCTTTATACTTTTTCAAGACTGTGGGGTCACCTCTAGCACATACAATGCCTTTCTGGGAATCACAAAAAGGGATCCTTTCCCAGCCAATTAATCGCCAAAAGCATCCCCTCAACTTCAACTTCCCACTCAAACCAACCATTTAGATGGTTAAATGACAGAAATGAACCTGTTTCTCCTGGCTAATTCAGTGGGTACTTAGCCTCACAGTCGGACTCATGGGAACTCTGGATGATCAGTTCCCACATGACGTCTTAGCCAAGAACATTTGTGCAGTGTACAGCCTACTCGCCCATACATCTTATAACAGAACCATGCTCCTCAAGCTGGCAGAAAGATAAGCCATTACTGGGAAAGCTTATCTGGGAAAGATAAGCTATTACTTTAAACAAAGGGCAGGTGTACCCAATTATTGTATTCCTTCGGGGCTCTTTGGATTTTATGACTAGTAACTCATACCATAAAAACATAATCTATTCTTGAAATTCTTTCTGGAAAACAGAACTTTGATACTTAAGTGTAACCCTTTCTAGTTTCCATCCCACTTCCCTCCGTGAAAATGGAGGCTGGAGTAAGGAGTGACAGCCACACCTACCGGATCAGGAGGGTATAGACTTCGTGTCTCGGCATCTCGTAGCGCTCCACCAGCCTGAACATGGAGTAGAAGCGAGGCACGACCAGGTTGATGCAGGACACAACGAAAGGCAGTAAAAGCACCGCCCCAGGGTTACTGTGGCTCGCCAGGAACTGCAGGGGATGGAGGGAGAGAATCAAGTTGCTGACTGTACATTGAGCCCCTCTCTGCCTGACTCAGAAGATCCCCCAAGGTGAGAAAACCTCCTCTGATTTAGCTATTAAAGTACCACTTACCCAGCACTTGCCCTCGGCCAAGAATTACTCACATGATGCTTTAACTCCCACTATAGCCCAATAGGTGGGTGTTAATAGACTTAACTGATAGACAATCTGAGGCTGAGAAAGGCAAAGATGCTTGCCCAGGGTTCCCCAGCTAGGAACTGGCAGATTTGAACCCAGGTCTATCAGACTCAGGGACCTATGGCCCAACAGCCATTCTGTGGCTTTACTTTCCTCACCAAGAGGTGTGGAAACATGAGAATGTGCTCCAGGCTGCTGGAAGAAAAGCTCAAGCTATCAAAGCTACGACCCAAGGGAATTTCTCCTCTGCTCTCCTGCGTGCCCTTGTTCATTTCACCAAGCTTTGCCTGTCCTCGGGTGCTGAATCAGGGGCAAGGGGAGCCTCTGCTAGCCCATGCTGCTCTTTTCTATGCGGGTCAGAGGGGTGCCCCTGCCTTCGTGTGGACACCACCCTGGCATTTGGCTGGAGTGAAGCCTATGCCACCCCTCTGCCAGGCGCTCTTGGGGTAAGAGATTCTAGTGGATTTATCTGATGTCTGAAAGTTCCCCTACTTCCCACCCTGAAGCCTGACTCTGCCTCTACTTACCTCTGGATAGCTTTGAAAACACCACTTGCACTTTCTCAGTATCTTTGGAGCCAGAGTAACTTAGGGTCAAATGCTGCATCCCTCCCTGTGCTTATAAGCTGAAGCTTTGGAACCACAAGCATAGCTTCTCTGAGCCTCTTTCCTAGGCTGCCTGATGGGGAGATTATCATACAACCCACTAAGACACTGTAAGAATTAAGTGAGACCACATAAGGGGCTTCCCTGGTAGCTCAGTTGGTAAAGAATCCTCCTGCAGTGCAGGAGACCCAAGTTCGATTCCTGGGTTGGGAAGATCTGCTGGAGAAGGGATAGGCTACCCACTCCAGTATTCTTGGCTTCTCTGGTGGCTCAGCTGGTAAAGAATCCACCTGCAATGTGGGAGAACTGGGTTCAGTCCCTGGGTTGGGAAGATCCCTTGGAGAAGGGAAAGGCTACCCAGTCCAATATTCTGGCCTAGAGAATTCCATGGACTGCATCGTTCGTGGGGTTGCAACGAGTTGGACACGACTGAGCCACTTTCACTTTCAAATAAGGAAAGGGCAGGCTGCAGAGCTACTAAATGACACGGCTGGGGGCACCATTCATGTGAAATTGTAGCTGCCAACGAATGTGCCTCCTCGAGCTGTGCAGAGGGTTGATCCCGCCTGGCACAGATGTTCAAACAATGGGGATGACTCTTTTCCTCCTCCTTCACTCTCTCCATCACTTCAGGTGGGTGTGAAGAAAACCTTCGGAGTCAGGGAGAAACTCGGAAGTCTTCTTTTTACTTACAGCTGCCCTGCCACACCTTCCAACCCAGGCAGACAGTGCCAGGCCCTGGAGGACTGGGACTCAGGTTCATCTCTTTCAGGGCAAACCTTAATATGAACCCTTAGGTTTGTATCATTCCACACCCATTTCTTGCTGGCTCCTCCTCCATTGGGTTGAGCACCTACTATGTACCAGAAGCTGGGCCAGGTGCCTGGTTATTCTTTTGAAGAAACAAATGCGTCAACAAGCATTTTCAAGGCTGCATGTGACAAGCACATGGGGAAAGACTGCAGAGTCAGGCGCACCTAACTCAATCTAGTAAGGGAGGTGATGGTGAGAAAAGATTTCCTGGAGGACGTGTCACTCATGCTGAGGTCTAGCGGGAGAAAAAGAGGAGTTTGCCAGATGAAGGGGAGGGGCGGCAGTGTAGAATGAACTGCGTGTTTCCCATCTAGAGCTAAGGGAAAACATGGCGTGTTCAGGGAACTAGGGCCATATCATTTAGTGTTGCTGGTGTGGTATATAGGTGGTCGTGGGGTATTGAGACTAAAGATGTGGGCAGCAGCCACATCACAAAAGATCTATCAATCATGCCATGGAGGGTAGGTTTTATATTTAGAGTACTGGGAAGACAATAAACAGAGACACAATCAGACCAACCTGTACAATTCTAGGGGTCTGCAAAGTCAGCTACAATTAGCCCCATTTCCAGAAAAGAAGCTGAAACACACAGAGAAACAGTACTTTGTCCACCCAGCTAATTAGTCTCAGAGTTCATATCATTAAAAAAAAAAAAAAAACTTAACATTCCTTTATCACCCACAGTACCAGGTACTAAGTACACTCTTCACATAACTTTTCTCTAGTCCAGACCACACACCTAACAAAGCAGGTATTGCAGTTTATAGGTAAGGAATTAGGGGCTTGGGAAGACTAAAGTGAAGGTGTTAGTCACTCAATCGTGTCCAACTCTTTGCGACCCCATGGACTGTAGCCTGCCAGGCTCCTCTATCCATGGGAATCTCCAGGCAAGAATACTGGAGTGGGTTGCCATTCCCTTCTCCAGGGGATCTTCCAGATCCATGGATCAAACCTCAGTCTCCTGGGTTGCTGGCAGATTCTTTACCATCTGAGCCACCAGCGAAGCCCATGGGAAGAGTAAATCACTAGCCAGATTCCATTGGTTCATAATATTTATTAAGTGTCTACTTGGTGTCAGAGAGGCATTAGGTATATAATAACTAAGGCGGACATCAGAATCTGATCCCAGGTCTGTGGCCAAAGTTCCCATCTCTCCACTAGCCCAGAGCCTCCACCCTGAGATGTGTGCACACATCCCCTGGGGATGTTCTTATGAGGCAGATTCTGGGTCCATGGACCAAGAGAGGGACCCAGGATCTTGCACTTTTAAACAAACTTCCTCCTGGCGGCGATGCTGCTGGCCACAACCTTGTTGAGGGTGGTGACCAGGACCCTACCTGACCCTCCTGCATCCCGTCCCTTCACCTGCTTCTCTGCACTCTGGACCCTGGACCTCCTGCCTCTCTGGTTACCTGTAAGTTGTTCTCAGCCAGGTAATAGACGGCTGCACAGCAGGCGATGGCCACTCCGGAAGAGACAACCCAGGCTGCCACATGGGCAGAGAAGCGGATAAACCGCTGATTGAATGTTAACTTGACGTTCTCCTGACGGATTTCTGACAGGTTCTCCTGTAAACACAAGGAAATCGAGTTCACTCTCAGAACCCCTACACTGTCAGCAAAGATCACCACCCCTGGGGTTTCGTTCTCTCACAGAGACACAAACCCACAGGCGCGAGAGTGGGAAGAAGCACCATGAACTTGGATTAGGAGACCTGTAGGAAAATCTCTAATGGGCAAGAACCCCCCATCGCTTCATTGAATACCTTTTCCATCTCAGAGGGAAAGAGATTGGGACCGTGATCTTGAAGAATAAGGCAGAGGAAACTTCTGCACCCCTCTTGTCAAAGCCCCTTAGTTTATAAATTCTGCTTGCTCTTTTTTTCTCTTAAATAATTTTCTATAGATCATGGTTTGTCAACCTTAGCTCTATTGACATTCAGAGTTGATAAATCTGTTTTGAAGGCTTGTCCGGTGCACCATGGGATGTTGAGCAGCATCTTGGCCTCTACCCACTAGATGCTGGTAATACACACTCCTTTGCAGCAACAATCAAAAAAGCCTCCAGACATTGCCCTGTGTCTCTGGGACAAATCTGCCCTGAGTCAAAAATCACTGGATAAAATTTTAAACCTAGAACTGTGAGGTCGATAAGTATTTAACACCTTGTAATAAATTGTTAAACTGCCCTTCAGCAAGCTTATGTCAATAACAAAGTCACCACGTTGTGTGAAAATGTTCATTTCCCAACACCATCACCAGAACTGGGCATTTAAAATAGTTTTAGATTTTTTTTTCCAATATCATGGAGGATTAAAAATGAAACATTATTCCTTTAAGAAAATTTACAGGCATATTGAAGGAGGAAGGAGGGCTGGCCATGGGAAGGGGTGTAAAGCTGGCTCTCCTTACCCTGACTTCAGTGCTCAGATTCTTCTGTTTCAGCTTTACTGCGCTTTCATGAGTGACGGTGAAGTCCCAGCAAAAAATGAGCTTGGCGATCCCTCTGGAGTAAATGTGGGGGTTAATGAAGTTGTTCCGGAAATACCTGGCCATACTAGGAAAGGCAGAAACCAAAATACCCAAGCGTTACTAGGACAGACAGTGGGGGTGCAGGGATTATAACAAGGAATAGTTCCATCATTAGTGGTGAAAGGCAACATGGAAGCGTTAGCCTGAAGTTCTGGAACAGGGCAACAGCAAACATAATAGTCAGGAGCACTGGCTTTGGGATCTGACTTTGTAATCTTTGATTGCCAGCTGGGAAGATTTTGTCATTTTAAGGGTCCTAACCCTCAGTTTCCACATCTGTATAAGGGGGATAATACTAGTTCACCATGAGAGTTGTATTAGTTTCCTCTTGCTGCTATAACAAATTGCCCTAAACTTACTGGCTTAAAACAACATGTATTCTTACTAGAGGTCAGAAATCAGAAAATGGATCGACAATCAAGGTATTGGCAGAGTCACGTTCTTTCTGGAGACTTTAGAGGAGAATCTGTTTCCCTGCCTTTTCCAGCTTCTAGATGCTGCCTGCATTTCCTGGCTTGTGGCTCCTTCATCTTCAAAGCTGGAAGAGTAATATCTTCTGCTCTTTCCCTGACTTTGACTCTCCTGCTTCCCTCTTTAAAGGACCCTTGTGATTGCATCAGCCCATTTTAAGATATTTAACTAAATCACTTCTGGAAAATTCCTTTTGCCAGATAAAGTACCATAGTCACAGTTTCTGGGGATTAGGTCATGGACATCTTTGAAGAGGGGGCATTATTCAGCCCACAGCAAGAGTCAATGTGGCCCTTAGCACAGTAAGCACTCAATAAAGGCAGCTGTAATTATCATGGAGATGTCTAGGATTCGTTGAAATTGGGTCCAGGAAGCACTTAGCACTAAGCCTGACATGTGAAAAAATTCTGAGCAAAATGACACTACCTTTGTAAAGTCTGCCACCATCAAGTAATAACAGCTTAAGAAACAGAAACATTTCCTAGTTCGATAGGACAAAACAAAATCTTGTTTTATTTTGGATTATCATGCTAGCAGTGAGGTTGTTATGGGCTGAACTGTACTCCTTAAAAATTAATATTTTGAAGTCCTATGACTACAATGCAAGAGACCGGGGTTTGATCTTTGGGTTGTGAAGATCCCCTGGAGAAGGGAATGGCTACCCACTCCAGTATTCTTACCTGGAGAATCCCATGGACAGAGGAGCCTGGAGGGCTAAAGTCCATGGGGTTTCGAAGAGTCAGACATGACCAAGAGACTAACACACACATATACACAACCCCTAGTACCTGAGAAATTGACTGGGTTTTGAGATAGGATCTGTACAGAGGTAATTAAATTAAAGTGAGATCATTTAAGTGGGCCCAATCCAACATGGCTGGTGTCCTTATAAGAGGGGGATGTTAGGACTCAGATATGCATGGAGGGTAGATCATATGAGGAGAGAGTGGGAAGGTGGCTGTCAGCAAGCCGGCGAGAGAAGCCTCAGGAGAAACCAAACCTGCTGAAACATCTTGAACTTGGATTTCTAGCATCCTGAATTTGAGGGGGAAAAAAATGTTGTTGATTAAGCCCCCCAGTCTGTGGTACTTTGTTACAAAGACTTAGTAAGCTAACAGGTTTAACAGATTGAACATTTGACAACTGTCAATTTACAACCATTCATCAAAACCACCTGAGTCATTGCATCCTTATTTTCAGACTGACCAATTTCTTTAAAAGCACATGAAAATTTCTCTTCCTCTGTCCAAACTTACACTTTATGTTCTAGGACAACAAAGGATTAGATAGGAGTAGAAAGTTGAAATTGCAGAGAAACTGTTCCCCCGGTAACTTTTGAGTCTCTAAAATTTTCCCTAAAACTATAAAGAGCTTAGAATCAGAAAATGCAAACTTTCCATACCTGAAGAGCAAACTAAAAAAGCAGACGACCAAACACCCTCCAATTGTAAAGATGTAGGCCAGCTGCATGTTGTAGGAGGCCCCACTGTTGCCATGCCGGATCGTAGAATTGGTGTAAAAGCCATAGTACATCACTGTGTTAGTAAAATAACCCTGAAAAGGACAATAAATTCCAGGTCAGGTGGATCTCTCAAGAAAACAATGAATGACTATGGGCAGTAGAGTTTACTTTTTCCGTATACAAGAAGCCTGTACTGGTCAGTTTAGACATTTTATTTGCCAGGAAAGAGGCAAACAAGGCCACTGAGAACCTAGACATCTTATCACAAGGCTCTTAGAGGTAGAAAGGAATTGCAAAGCAGCACAGCTTTACAATGGAGGGGCCCAGTGATCACCAACTGGACCCAGTGACCAAGCCAAGCATGACTAAAAGCAGGACAGCCAGCTGTTAACGTGACTCTGTCATCTATTAGGTCTTATGGTCAAATGTTTAAAATGAAACAAACCAAGTCTTTAGGTCTAAACTTCAATTGATAGGAAATAAGGCGCCTGTTTAAATCTGAGGAACAAATCAGAGAGACCCGGAGGAAACGATTCAACAATTATGTGTACATTCCAATGTTCTACCTTCCACAGTTGTCTAATTGTCTTCTGCGAGTCTCTCTAATTTGTTCCTCTAATTTATACAGGCCCCTTATTTCCTTAAAAAACGGAAAACAGAACTACCGTATTACCCAGCAGTCCCACTACTGGGCATATACCCTGAGAAAACCATAATTCACAAAGATACATAAACCCCATTGTTCATTGCAGCACCATTTACAATAACCAGAACATGGAAATAACCCAAATGTCCATCAACAGATGAATGATAAAGATGTGGTACATATATACAATGGAATATTACTCAGCCAGAAAAAAGGAACAACACTGGGTCATTTGTACAGATGTGGATCAATACAGTCTGTCATACAGAGTGAAGTAAGTCAGAAAGAGAAAAGCAAATATTGTATATTAATGCATATATGTGGACTCTAGAAAAAATGGTACAGATGAACTTGTTAGCAGCGCAGGAATACAGAGGCAGATATACAGAACAGACATGTGGACATGAGGGTGGAGGAGAGGAAGGTGAGATGAATTGGGAGAGCACAACTGACATGTATACACTACAACGTATAAGACAGATCGCTAGTGGGGACCTGCTCTATAGCACGGGGGGGCTCAGCTCAGCGCTCTGTTATGACCTAGACGAGCAGGATGGCAATGGGGTGAGAGGCAAGTCCCTGGGGGAAGGAATATATGTATACATGTGTATGTACATACATATACATATATATACATATATGTATATACATATGTATACATATGAATGACTCACTTCATTGTGCAGCAGAAACCAACACATTATAAAGCAATTACATTCCAATTTTAAAAGGTTATCCCTTTTATTTTTTTTCCAACCATTAAAAAATGTGGAAACCAATCTTATTTTGCAGGCTATATATAGAAACAGGTGGTGAGCCAGATTTGGCTCTTGAGCTATTTGTCTATCCACAGAATCTCAGTGGCAGAAACCTCTTCTAGAAGGTAAATTCACAAGGTGGGAGCTATGTGCTCCAATAAAGCACTTGGTAGGTAACACTGTGGTTGTTAATAAAGAGGATAACATGGATGTGTATCCACGCTCAACATACACAGTAAAGCAAAAAATGTTGCAAAGCAAGACTTGTATTATCTCACCCTCTTTTTATTAAAAAAAATATTTTAGTATTATCAGCTTGTGTATCTATGTATCTATGACTGTATAGGAAGAAAAATGGTGGATAAAGATACACTCCAAACTAGAGGGGTAGACAAAAGAATGTGCATGAAATAGACTTTTCTTAATTTGTTCTCTTCTATACTAGCAAAATTTTTTTTTTAAAGAAGCACTGTATTTTGTAGAAAGAAAATGAAAAAGAAAGAAAAGGTAGATCTATGAGCACCAATATGAGATGGTGGAAGGAAGCAAGTCACAGGAAGTCCGTATGAATAATTCATCTTTTGTTTAAAAATAAACGATGTGTATGTCTGTGCATAACATGCCCATAGGTGTGCAGAGAAGAGGATTCTGGACAACAGAAACTGTTAACATGGTCACCTCGGGAGACAGAAATTCTCCCAAAATTGTGTGTGTGTGTCACTTTGGAGAAAAAGAGAAAGCATTTTACACACCCATTTTCGCACCAGTTGACTCTCGGGCAAATGAGAGGCCTAGAAGGGCGCCAGCAGGGTTTCCAAGTATGACCTCCAGGTGTGGGGGGAGCACTTACCGCCCCGGTTAAAAATTCCAGTCCAGTGAATTGGAGGTGGTTCTCCTGTGTCACAGTCAGCTGAGGGATGATGATGAAGCTGAAGGTCACAATGAACGAGAAAATGTTGAACTTCAAAAGCCACCTCAGAAAGTTGAAATAGGAGAGGACGCTGGTACCAAACTTGCCTCCGATGACCTTGAGCGTCTTCTGCCACAGGCTGATGGAATCGAGCAGTTCTGACAGGTTGTTCTTGAACCTTCGGTATGCCTGGGGGTGGACACAAAGTGCAGGGCTGGACGGCCCCTTAACAAATACCTACCAAACAGGCCTGACAATAGCAACAGGCCACCGCTTCTGAGGCCCTTGGACATCAAGCCAGTCAACCCTAAAGGAAATCAACCCTGAATATTCACTGAAAGGACAGATGCTGAGGTTGAAGCTCCAGTACTTTGACCACCTGAGGCAAAGAGCTGATTCATTGGAAAAGACCCTGATGCTGGGAAAGACTGAGGCAGGAGGAGAAGGGGGAGACAGGATGAGATGGTTGGATGGAATCACCATCGCCACCACTCCCCTGGACATACCCCTACTCTCAGCCCATATTAGGAACCAGCCTGCCCCTACCTTGGGGAGCAAGCAAGAGAACTTGCTACTTGTTTTTGCAGGGGCCCTAGTAAAGACTTGCCAGAATTTCTTATCTGGCCTCTTATCAATTTCTATTGATTAAGGAAGGCCAAGAACCTGGGTCGGTGTCACCATTATTTATTATCTTCCTAGGTTTGCTGTTGAAGGTGACACTCACAGTAGCTAGGCTACCCAAATAACTAAATAACTGCAGCTCCTTAGACCTTCCTATGCCCACGTGTTTTCCCCACACCTAAACTGACCCAGTTTCTACATCTTTCAAGGAAACAGCCCTGAATTTTGGTTTTTCCTTCCTGTGAGTCCCCTGTCATCCCCTCTCTCCCCACTCCCTGGCTTCACCCTCCTCTGTGCCCATTTATTGACCTCAGTAAAGACCAACTTACCAGTGAGATGGAGTTCAGACACTGGGCACAGCAATTGAGCTCCAGGATACGACGGGACTGCTTACTTTTCTCTCTGTCGACCATCTTCCTGTGGGAAAGGGCAGAAGAAAGTGAGACACCAGTGTGGTAATGCATCCATCCCCTTGACATTTCTTGAGTGCCTGCCACGTGCCAGGCACAGTCCCAGGTGGTGAGACACAGACAGATCTCCCCAGCTCCTGGAGCAGACACCTTAGTTGGAAGAGGAAGAAAACAAATAAGAAATGTAATCATAAAGTAGGTAAACAATATAAGATAATAGAAGGTGAGTGGTACTATGGGAAAGAGGAGGGGAAAACAGCAGAGTAAGGAGGTGGGAAACACTGGGATGAAGACCCTGTTACGATTTGAATAGCACCTTATTTGCACAAAGTCTGGAAGGAGAAGAGAGGGTTAGTCTGTGGATAAGGGACTGTCCGAGCACAAGAAACAGCCGACTCGAAGACCCAAGGAGGCCAGGATGGGCAGGAATGAGAAGGGGAAGGGTGGAGAGTGTGAGTGATAACTGTGGGTAAGTGGCTGGGGTCTTAGAAGACAGTGGATCTCAACCAGGAAGATTTTTGGCCTCAAGGGATATTTGGGTATGTCTGGAGACTTTTTGGTTGTCAGCCTGGGGGTTGGGAGTGCCGCTGACATCTAGAGGCCAGGGATGCTGCTGTATATACCCTACAGTGAACAGGACAGCCCCCTAAACATAGAATAATCCCGACTCAAATGTCAGATTGAAAATCCTGCTGTAAAGTCTTTTGGGTCGTCACAAGGCCCTCACTGTGTGACAGACAGAGCCAAGCAGAGTTTGAAACAGAAGAGTGTTTCGAAAAAGATCCAGCTGCAGTTGTTCTCTTTACTTTTCCATGAACTCATTACCTCTCCTTTGCTCTGGGCTCTTTCCTTTGGCCCAGCCAAAGGCCCACCCCCACAACACCATCTTCCAAAGCTCAGTTCCCAGACATCCCCTACTTTGCCCAAGTGGACTGTTAACTCTAGTCCTGTTATCTTCTAGTCCTTCTAGAAAGACTCCTTCTACCTTGATTTGCAATCTCCTTCTACCTTGATTTGGCCCGATATTCTTTCCATCATTTATAAGTTACTTGTTGACCAATCTACTCTCCCTGCCAGACTCTGAATCTCAGAACAATTACATCATCTATTTACACACATACAATTATTTATTAGCAATTGCATCGACTCCACTACCATCCCTGTGCTTAGTCACTAAGTCATGTCCAACTCTTTGTGACCCATGGACTGTATCCCGCCAGGCTCCTCTGTCCATGAAATTTTCCAGGCAAGAATACTGGAGTGGGTTGCCATTTCCTTCTCCAAGGGATCTTCCTGATCCAGGGAGTGAAACTTTCATCTCTTGGCTCTCCTGCACGGGCAGGCGAATTCTTTACTACTGTGCCACCTGGGAAGCCCTGTCAACTCCTACAAATTGCAAAAAGAAAAATGCTGAGGAATGATAAATGCAAGAAGGGCTGAAGGCTTAAACAGCCCTCACTCTTGTTTTTGAACTCCTGGGCTTAGAAAGCTTCTGAGGTTTTGTTTGTTTGGGTTTTGTGTCCCCGTTCTCTGCCCCGACCCCTGCACCTGCCTGGTACAGCTATGGCTTGCAGGATCTTAGTTCCCCTACCAGGCACTGAGCCCAGGTCACAGCAGTGACAGTGCCAAGTCCTAACCACTGGATCACCAGGGCACTCTCCCCTTACACACACCTTTCTTCTAAGAGGAGTTTAAAATTTACAGAGAAGTTACAAAAACAATACAGGAAATCCCCATCTCCCACTCACCATTTCCTCTGCTAACATCTTACATTTCTATGGTAGGTTGGTTGCAGCTAAGGAATCAACGTCGGTGTGCAACTTTTACCTAAACTCCAGACTATCCTGACTTCACCAGTTTTCCCATAGATGCTCATTTTCTATTCCAGGACCCGTCCAGGACCCCACATCGCATTAGCAGTCATGTCTCTTTAGAACCCTCCAGTCTGTGACCATGTCTCAAACTTTCCTTCTTTTTGATGATCTTGACAGTTTTGAAGAATACTGCTCAGGTATTATGAAAACCGTCCCTTGATTACGCTTTCTCTGCTTTTTTTTCTCTGGTTAGACTAGTGTTGTGGGTTTTAGAAGAGAGTACACGGGGGTGGGGGGCTTCCCAGGTGCCTCAGCTGGTAAAGAACATGCATGCCAATTCAGGAGGTGCAAGAGACACAGGTTCAGTCCCTGGGTTGAAAAGATCCTCTGGAGAAGGAAATGCAACCCACTCCAGTATTCTTGCCTGGAGAATTTCATGGACAGAGGAGCCTGGTGGGCTGCAGTCCATGGGGTTGCAAAGAGTCAGACATGACTAAGCATGCATGCACACATACACACACAGAGGACTCTTTGATCACACGACTTATCTCTGGGGATGTTAGTCTTGAGCACCTGGCCCAGGTAGGATTAGCTAGACTTCACTCCAGGAAGCGATGTCCCCCTCTTTCCATCCTCCACTCTCTGGAAGCAGGTCACTAAGCAGAGCCCAGAGTCCAGGTGACCAACACACATTATGTGGAATTCTTTGGTAGGAAGATTGCCTCTTCCCTTGCGTTTCTTTCTTTTCTTTTGCGTTTATTTCTTCTCTTTCTGACATTAGACAAAGGTAGAAGACTAAAGTTTCCATGAAATCTGTGCAAGGAAAAAAACTTTTGGTCCATACCTAAGGTTCCTTTTTTCTTCCATGGTCCTTGGCTGATTCCTAATGGCTTTAATTCTGTCTCTAGATGTCATGGGTATCAGAGACTCGATTAACTTTTGTCCTGCAGGAAAAAAAAATGGAGATTAATTTTTTTTAAATTTTAACAGAATAATAGCAATTGAAAATATGGTGCTAAAGATCTAGAGCATGTTTTTATGAGCGCACAGGAAAGAATATGCAGACTCGGTGAGCCGAAAAGTCACAAATAAAAACAAGAAGATGGTGCATGCACATGTGACATCTCAAAGCGAAAGCACGTGACAGTTTGTATGCAATTCCAATTCCATGTTTTCCTTTTTCCTATGACACGGCACATTCAGCAAAGCCAGAATGTGTGGTCAGCCTGGTTCTTTTCTCTCTGTAATTTCCTGCACGACTTTCTCTCGCCCCCTGAGCTTCAGGCCCAAGCATCTTCTTTACTTTTCTTGACTGTTGTCTTCTGCTCTTCCACCCCTGGAATGATGTCCCCTCTCCTCTCCCGAGAACTCAGATTCACACTTTAGGTCCATGTGGCAGATGCTGTGATCACCTACCCCACAATCATCTCTCCTTTTTAATAGGATCCCAATTCAGTTTAGGCATCTACCCACCTCCCTCCCATGGTCCTGGGCTTCTGCAGGGTGGGGTTCATCTCCAGGTTCTCATCGCCAGGGCCCAGCAGGCCTTGTGAGTCTGAGTCTATCTCGATGGCCCCAGGCCCCAGCAGGTGACCTATTTAGCTCCAGGTATGTGATAGCATTGGCGATTCTGAGAGGTGGTCTGCTGAGGGGTTGCATGAAAAGGGTTTCTTCCTTCTCAAAACAGCAAGACTCAAAAAACAAGGAAAAGGCAGTGCCTTCTCCCTCTGGGTGGGTTGTGTCTACATGGCACTTGGCCCCATCCATAACAGGGATGGGGAGCAGCGGGGGCCACCGGGCGCATGGCAGGAGTGGCTGGCTCCTGGCCCTGTTGTTGAGCTACATGGGAACCCTCCTCTCAGTGACATAGCTGAGGCGGAGGGAGAATTCCCAGAAGAGAGCCTCCAAATCACTTGACTGAAGATGAGGAATTTGAGCATCTCCTAAGAAAGACGTGGGGACAGACAGAGGAATAAAGGTGAAGAAGGAACAAAAGCCCATAAATTCGGGGAGACAGCAATGTGACGAGATGCCCCATCTTTCAACAAAGGAGCTAAACTCATAAAATGCTTTGGTGTGAATAGATTTTTCCCCCCTTTTAGAAGTCACTGAGAATGGCTGGACTTCATGCCTGGAGTATTACGGGGAGAAAGAGAAACAACATCTGGGAAACAGTGTTTGATGTCAGGAGCTGTGAGGCAAGGGAGGGTCTCAGTTAAGACCTGGCTTCACGGAGGACTTGACAAATAGAGGCATCGCATGATACATGAACTTAGGGATTGGGTCCAAAGCAGTTCAGGATGGTGGTTAAGGCGTCCGGCTTGGGAATCAGGCAGACCTGCATTTGATCACAGATCTGCTATGTTATTTAATTTCCTTGAGCCTCAGTCCCTCAGCAAATGGAAATGACAGGCGTGCCTGTATCACACGTGCGGAGAGTGGCAGGCAAATAAAACTAAATTTGATGGATAACACAAAGGCAGAACACCGGGCATGTGAAATGAGCTTGATCAAGGTAAAACTCCTTCTTAGGCGTCAGGTCCTCTCAAAGTGACCCCTTCCGAGTCCCAGGAACTCAGGTCATCTACCAAGCCTCACTGTATTCAGTGTTTTAAAACCACAACCCTATGGGCAACTCGGAAGGGGTTGCTCCCATCCTAACTCCTCTGCCCCAGGGTCTCACCTTGGATGTTCTCATGTGAAGTATGAAGGGTGCCTAAGCCTGTGTTTTCTGAGTTATGAAGAGTCTGAGAAAACGATTCCTTCGAAGGTGTTGCAAACCGTAATAACTGCTTGCCCTTTTGGTCATTCCGATTGCTGAAAATCTGAGAATCTGTCACATCGCTGTCAGAAATGGAGGAGACCAGGATGAAGTTTGAGTTCACCGGTGTCTTTTCTGGAATAATCTGACTTGAAGATGGTCGGCTTTGGACCCCCGATGGGACATGCTCAACCTCGACAATGATTTCATTCACTTGACCACCAGAAAGCATCTCTCGTCCCCCCAAGCCTTAAGTCCCACCAAGGTGAGCTTCCCAAGACCTCATATAGCAGTCACACTGGCATTGTTGGGAACCACCCAGAAAAGTGATGACAGTCACAGAGAGCTGCCCCATCCACAGTTATTAATGCCAGGATGAGATGGACAAAACCAGTCCCCCACAAATCACAGTACAGCTCCCCACATCTACACCAGAGGGGGATCCCCGAGAAGAGGAGTGTTTTCCTGTGGAGATTCTGTCCCAGTAGCTAGGTAAAAGGCCAGAGACAGAATTCTTCATTAAAGCAATAGGATTCTAAAAACAGAAGGCAGAGATTCTTCTAAATGACTCATAATCAAAGGGTAAGGTCTTCTTTTTAATTGGTACCTCTGGTCCAAGACTTACGTTTTATTTTTAGTTTTCTGTGCCTGTGCCTATATACAGCCAGATGGGTTTGCAGGGAAACAGCTGCTATCTCCTGACGGCCTGGGTGGCCCCACTGCTGTCCGTCTGCTTCCCACACCCATTCTCTCTTACTCTCACATCAGCAGAGGCCGCCTTTCCTTTGCAGTCACTGCGCTCAGCTAGAACTCTCCCAGCTTCCTTCGTGGCAAAGAGTGGCTCCTTTTGCAGCCTAGGATGGGCCTGTGACCCCATTCTAGCCAACAAGATTGTGGCTTCCGTTAACGCTCTTTAATGGGTGAAAGTTTGCCTGATTTAACCCTTGGCATTTCACTATTTCACCTTCTTCCTGACCAGATACAGCCATTTGGAAAAAAGAGGGTAAAACGCTCACCAGCCGAGGGTGGTGGGAAAAGACACTTCAGAAGGAGCCTCAGGTGTTGAGAGTATCATGGACAGGGGTGCCATAAAAACTCTGGACTCATTCCTGGCATACTTCTTGTCACAAGGGGAAAATAAATCCCTTTATTGCTAAACCACTGTCCTATGTCAGTGCTGGGCACCTGGACACAGTCCCTACCCAGCAGACCTGATCTGGAAATCACCTTGGCCATGCTGTTTATTTAATAGTTGGAGAATTTGAGGTGCAGAGGAATGAACTAAACTCCCTCCTAATCATACTCTCATTAAATGGCAGGACTGGACTAATAACAGAATTCTTTCCTTCTCCCCACACCAACGATAATTACTAGTATTGAGAATCTGCCTGCTAATGCAGGGGACATGGGTTCAATCCCTAGTCCAGGAAGATTCCACATGCCGTGGAGCAACCAAGCCTGTGCACCACAACTAGAGAGCTGTGGCCACAACTAGAGAAAGCCTGCACACAGCAACAAAGACCCAGCACAGCCAAAAAAAGTTCCTTGTAAAAAACAATATATGATAGCTATCAGTAACAATACCTGCAGGCTAACTACTTTAAATAGAATATATTGTTTGATTTTCACAATCACCCTATGAAGTAAGTACTGTAATAAACCCCATTTTATAGCTAAGAAAACTGAGGCCCAAAAAGGTAATTTGTTTTAAGGCTACAAACCAGCAAGTAGAAGAGCTCAGGATCAAACCGAAGTCTGTCTGGTCCCAAAGCACGGTGCCTTGGTTACTTCACCCTGGTCCTTTCCTGTCGCAGATGCTAATGTATCATTTACTACTTCCTTCATTCGTAAATGAATATTTATGAGTACCTACTAAGTGCCAGGCACTTCCTAGCTGCTAGCATGATCCACCAAAGTGACACTCTATCAGAAGACTGTCCATCAGTTAATTGTAAATGATTTGAGAATCAGAACTGGTAAAGCAAAATGGTAGAGAAAGCCAGGTTCATCTCTGGGTCCTCTATTTCTATACTTCTCTCTGCCTTCTGGGGACTCCGCTCCCACCTAGAGGCCCGAATCTTCATATTGGCCACAGAGCATCTTAAGAGGTTTGAAGGCGTTTCTTTTCCCCAGTAGTTAAAGCCATTCCCTACTCTCGTGGAAGACAGACAGAGAGCATGATTGTTTATATCCCCATGGTGTTCTCTCCCAAGTGGCAACACCTATTTCTTAAAAGATACAGGCCTCCTTAAGAAGCCTCTTAAAGAATGAAGCTACAGGGTCGGGTGTCAAAAGGAGAGAGATAGTTTCAAGTCATGGGGCCCCACAATATGTGTTGTTACACAGAGGATGTCTTCGACTTATTCCTTGGTATTCACAGGTTTGCCTCTAGCTTCCAGCACTCCCTGACCTCTCTCCTCTGATGCTTTTTTATTTCCTTGGCCTCTGCCTCTGATCAGACCTTCCTCACAGCACACGGTGATCCTTATAGAGTTTCCTAACTGATTTCAAAGCCTTCTTCAAGCTGATTGCTCCTATCCTCCACTATCATAATAATTCTATGATTATTCAGAAAAATTTTGATCAAGGCACTGCCATCTCACCAACACATGTATTAGCCATGGGACGGACATGTGACCCAAGCTTTCTTTCCTATGTAAAAATGACTGGTTCATGTGTAGGCATGTGTCCCAAATGGGGCTGGAGAGAGGTTCCGCAGTAATGGCCGACAGGCATAGAAAGAGAGGAAGATTTCCCCTGAGATTGCTGGCTGTGTGTGTGTCTGATGTCAAGCTCCCTGGCCAGCAGAGAAGGCCTGACTAGTTGAGATGAATCAGGTGAAGCTTAAAGAGAAGCTGTCTGTGAAATAGATGGAGAAAAAGAGAGTCCAGGTGGCCCTGAGCTCCTGGCTTCAGACCCAGAGGCCCTGGTTCCTGTAACTCATCCAACAAATACCTCTGAGCACCTACTATGCGCCATGCCAGGCTCTGTACTAAACTGCTGGAAGGCAATTCTACCTTCTGTTCTTTGTTCACCCACATCCTTCCCGCAGCAACAAGCCTTGGGCCTGGGTGAGCTGGGTTTCTGTCACTTGCAACCAGAAGAGTCCTAGCGAAGACACCTTGATATCCAAAGGAGAAAAAACTCTGCATGTTTAGAATAAACATTGTGATGAATTAAGGAAGTGCCGCATCAGTTACTACACCAGAGGCCAAGAGTCAGTGCAGTGTCTGCATTGCCTTGTACAGGCTCCTTCTGCAGGATGGATGCTTTTGGTCACTGTCCACTGAAGCCTTACCTTGGGGTGAACTGAGCCAATCATGTCCAGACAAGGGTGGGTCTCCATAAGCTGGGCCGAGACCATCATCACCCACATAAGCAGGATTCACTGGAATGAAGAGACAAGACAATTAATCCCACACTAATTATTACTGAGCACACGATGGTCAGCAGGACCATAACTCAGAGTTTGAGAAATACTTGTCTGGAGGGGAAGGGATGAATAGATGGAGCTCAGAGGGATTTGTGTGCTAAGTTGTTTCAGTTATGTCCCACTGTTTGTGACCCTATGGACTGTAGCCCACTAGGCTCCTCTGTCCATGGGATTCTCCAGGCAAAGATACTGGAGTGGGTTGCCATTTCCTTCTCCAAGGAATCTTCCTGACCCAGCTATCAAATCCACGTCTCTTATGTCTTCAGCATTAGTAGACACATTCTTTACCTCTAGCACCACCTGGGAAGCTTCAGAGGGGTTTAGGACAGTGAAAATACTCTGTAGGATACCCTTATGATGGATACAAGGGTTGAAACCCATAGAATGTACCACCCAAGGTGAAACTTAATGTAAGCTAAGGATTTTGGGTGATAATGATATGTCAATGTAGGTTCAGTTGTAACAAATGTCCCACTGTGGTGGGGAACCCTGATAATGAGCGAGGCCATGAGCGTGTTCCCTGGAGTAGAAAATGGCAACCCATTCCAGTGTTCTTGCCTGGAGGGTTCCATGGACAGAGGTGCCTGGCGGGCTATGGTCCAAGGAGTCTCAGGGAGTCAGATACAACTGAGTGAGTGAGCATACACGTGTGCACGTGTGGGGCACAGGGTACCTGAGACATTTGTCACTTTTCCTCAATGTTACTGTGAACCTAAAACTTCTGTTAAAAAAATGTCCTACTTCTAAAAATTAAACAAATTTTGTTGAGATGATTACAAAGCTTCCTTCTAATTGTAGCCTTTTATGATGACACATGAATAAATTAGAAACTTGGCATGATTTTCTCAGGGACAGAGTCCACTTTCGACATCTACGTGACAGTGTCACTTTTCAATATATTTTTATTCAACTCCTGATAAACAATGAAGTCTAAACTCCACAACAGAAAAAATTGGAGCACATTTTGATGGAGATGTACGAAATTATACTGCGGGAGGTTCTGGAACTTCTTGCCAAGGATCAGTTCCCAGCTTTGCTGCCTTATTAACTGTGTGCTCTCTGGCATATGTTACTTAATAGTCTGAGTTTCAATATCTTAGTCTGTAAATCAAGGATAATAATAGACCTTCACATAGGATTGTTGCGGAAATTGAAGCAGTTAGTTTTTGTTGGAGAAGCTGAATCAATTAATATGTGTAACTGATGTAACTATGTTTAAAAGTGCTTGAAAAAAAATCCCAGAACACCACAAATTCTTAATATATACTATTGTGGTAAATCAGTTGTTTTTCAGCAAATATTATACTTCCTCCACTTTGGACACCTCCATTGAGGTTGGACTTGGTCATGTGACTTGCCTTTACCAGTGGAACATAGTAGAAATGACAGTTTGCTAGTTCCAAACCAAGGACTCAGAGACATTATATGTTTCTGCTCGCAGACATTATATGTTTGTGTGCTTACAGCTTATTCCATGGAATGAAAATGGCCCAGGTTAGTTCACTGGGTCAAGAAGGACACTATACCTAAACAGAATCTGTGAGCTCAAATCAGACACAACCAAACCCAATCTGGTTCAGTCAAGCTCCAAGCAAACCCACAGATGCGTGGATGAGAGATAAATGATGTTTATTGTGCAACACTGGGTTTTAGAGTTGCTTGTTACACAGCATTCCTGTGGCAACAGCTAACCAATACATCCCTTACAGCTGTTGCTTTTAATTCAGTTAGCATTGCTCAAGCACCTACTGTGTGCCAAGCATTAGGAAAATTACATGGAGCCTTGGAAGATACATGGATGAAACGGGTTCTCCTTAACGAGTGCATAGTCTAACAAGATGGTATAGCACAGGATAAGAGAATGCTGGGGCTACAACCTTGGTCCTAAAAGGAGCCCAGAGAAGGAAGCCACACTTTATGTGGCCACTTTTTAAAATAGCTTTTTAATTCCAGTGTTCTGTGGAGCTTGGTGGTCAGCAATCCATATTTTCCCTGCTTCTGCCCCACAGTAATGTGGAGTCAGGGAGACTGGCTGATACAGGCCCTTTTGATTTAGTAGCTAGGTGACCTTTAGCATGTTTCTCTCTGAACCTCAGTTTTCCCTTCTGTAAATAGGGAGAGCAGTAGTGTCTGCTGCCGAGGAAAGAAGACTATAAAAGTAAAGTGCTTAGCAGAGTCTCCAGAGCATGGGAAACCCTCCAAACCAGTTATTAGCTCTGCTTGCATCAGAGTAGGGCAGTGTTTCTCAACCCTTTTTTTTTTTTTCATTACCCACCACCTACAGAGTCTTTTAAGATAGTTCTTCCTCATTGCGCTCCCTCATGACATTATTTACTTATTTATTTTTGGCTGCACTGGGTCTTCGTTGCTGTGTGCAGGCTTCCTATGGTTGTGGCAAGTGGGGGCTACTCTAGTGCAATATACAGGCTTCTCATTGCAGTGGCTTCTTTTGTGGCAGAGCATGGGCTGTAGGTGCACGTGTTTCAGCATTGTGGCACCTGGGCTTAGGTGCCCAGTGGAACGTGGGATCTTCATGGACCAGGGATTGAACCCATGTCTCTTATACTGGGAGGTGAATTCTTAAACACGGGACCAACAGGGAAGTACCCCCATGACATCTTAATACCATAGTTATATTGTATAACTACATTTTTGTGTATCTCCTTTATCCATAAAAAGAGGAAGGTTTTTTCTGGGCCTTTCAATAAATTTTCACCCCTTGAGATCCATACGCCACACTGAGAATGCCTGGCATAAAGGTTTGGAATAGCCCAACTGAATGTTTTCTCTGCAAATGTATAACAGCCCGCATTTTCCCTTAGTGTGTGGCAATGCATCCCATCTCCTCCTCCCCGTATTCTTCATTCTCTTCCCTACCAGTCAGGGCTGAGCGATCTTTCATCTGCACCAACCAGCACTTGGACTCCACGCTCTGTTCAAGGCTGAACACTCCCTTCTCCAGCTCTGAATTCCTATAACATCGACTTGTGCCTTGAGCTGGCTTTCTCTATCAGAAAAGTCCCCCCTTTTTTTTTTCTCTCAGAAGATGAGAACTGGTAGAATCTTCTTTACCTCCCAGAGCTAAACCTTTACACACAGAATATTCTGAGAATGATATGATTTTTCACATATTATCCATCTGTTTGCTCGTTTTCTTTAGTCTTCATGTGCTCTTGTCACCTCCTCACCTAGGCTTTAAATATCATGAGGACAGAACTGCTTCTAACTCCCTGTGTCCCCAGTAGGTTCCAAAAATACAAATGCTGACACACCTTTAGGAGGTGCTTAACTAAAGCTGGCCACTGGCAGCCATGCAAACTGAATCTAGTCTATCAGTTGTTTTGTTTGCTCAGCACAGGGATTTTATTTATTTATTTAAAGAATTATTTGGGAACATGTAAAAAACCAGATTTCTGGCTTCTCTAGGAAAATCTGAGGATCTGGCTACACCAGGACCACCTTTTTCACATAACCACCATGGACTTGAACCTGACCATCACACACAGGCACCACTCCTGCCCAATGTGCTCAGATAAATGATGACACTGTTTCTCTTCACTGCACCCTCAGGGTTCAATCTTTGTAAAGTGGGTGTTTGAATGAGTGGGGGTAAACCACTTCTCTCACTGATCTCTAATGACTGATCCCAAGCCCATTGAATTACATTTTCCTCCCAGGAAATGATCCTCTTCTTAACAAATGCTTACCATAGCCATTTCCAGGAGCACCTGGATACGGATTTGCCATCCCCACAGATTTCATTTCGATGCTTTCAGGATAATCAACATCCTCTCTCCCAAGGATGCCCAAGGGGCTGACACCCTCATGGTGAAACGAGGGCTGGATTGAAGATGTTCTGCTGAGCATTCTGCAATCCCAAAATGATGAATCAGTATTCATCTGGTAGCACAGTAAGGACAATCATCCATCGATCCATCCACCCACCCATCCATTCATTCCACTGAATGCCAACCAGGCGTGGGCAAGGGGAATAGAACACAAAGACAAAGACATGGGTTGTTGACCTTCAAGGACTCTCCACACAGTCTGGTCGAGACTGGTTGTCCTTAAACACAACCATAAGCAATTATAATATAAGTAGTAACTGGGGAATATAAGAAGACAGATCCAATGAGTTCACGGGAAAGAGAAAATTTGGGCTGGGAGTTTGAAGGGAAATCTACATGGAAAAGAGACATCTGACCTGGGATTGGAAGGATAAATCCATACATTAAGAGTTAGGAGGAGAGCATCCAAAGATGAAGAACAGCACAAGTAAACCTGTGGGACCAGAAAATGCTGAACATATAAAAGGAATGCTATGAAAGTCAATTAAGCTGGAGCAATGATTCTCAATTTTATGCATATATCAATTCCCAGGCCTCACCTCAAACAACTAAATAGAAGCTCTGAAAGTTGGGCCCACGTATTTGTATGATTTTTAAGGCCCCCCAGGTAATTAGGTAATTATAAGCATCAGCCAAGGTTAAGAACCACTGACCTAGAGTGTTGGGTTGAGGTAGGAAGAAGATGGGCTTCCCAGGTGGCTCAGTGGTAAAGAACCCGCCTACCAATGCAGGAGATGTGGGTTCGATCCCTGGGTTGGGGAGATTTCCTGGACAAGAAATGGCAACCCACTCTAGTATTCTTGCGTAGGAATTCCCATGGACAGAGAAGCCTGGCAGGCTAGAGTCCATGGGGTCACAAAAGAGTCAGACATGACTTAGCAACTAAACAACGACAACAGGGAAGGGATCGCAGAAGTGGGAGGTCAGTCAGGTTGGGCTTCGGCTGGCATTTTACATTAGCCCAGCACATCCTCATTCTTAAGGTATCATAAATGAAGTGGTGGAGTCTTTCTCCCAAAGGTTATGGAGAACCATGGAAGATAATAAACAAGGGAGTGACAAGGTCAAAGGTATATTTCAATGATGAATCAGGCAGTGGGGGATAAGACCAAGGAGGACATTTTGACCTGGTCCTTTTAATCCTCCGATTTAGGTTCTGAAGACATTGGATCTCACTACACACCCAAATCCCATATTTTTGTTTCTTGTTGTTCAGTCACTAAGTCATGTCCAACTGTTTGCAACCCTATGGACTGCAGCATGCCAGGCTTTCCTATCTTTTATTATCTCCCAGAGTTTGCTCAAATTCATGTCCATTGAGACAGTGATGCCATCCAATCATCTCATCCTCTGTCACCTCTTCCCCTCCTGTCCTCAATCTATCCCAGCATAAGGGTCTTTTCCAATAAGAGTCGGCTCTTCACATTAGGTGGTCAAAGTATTGGAGCTTCAGCTTCAGCTTCAGCATCAGTCCTTCCAATGAATATTTAGGATTGATTTTCTTTAGGATTGACTGGTTAGATCTCCCTGCAGTCCAAGGGACTCTCATGAGTCTTCTCCAACACTACAGTTCAAAAGCATCAATTCTTTGGCACTCATCCTTCTTCATGGTCCAACTCTCACATCCATACATGACTACTGGAAAAACCATAGCTTTGACTAGATGGACCTTTGTCAGCAAAGTAATGTCTTTGCTTTTTAATATTCTGTCTAGGTTTGTCATAGCTTTCCTTCCAAGGAGCAAGTGTCTTTTAATTTTGTAGCTGCAGCCACCATCTCTAGTGATTTTGGAGTCCAAGAAAATAAAATCTGTCACTATTTTCACTTTTTCCCCTTCTATTTGCCAGGAAATGATGGGACCAGATCCGATGATCTTAGTGTTTTGAATGTTGACTATCTTTTTAAAGTATTTATTGAATTTGTTACAATATTGCATCTGTTTTTTTCTTATGTTTTGGTTTTTGGGCCTCTTCATCAAGAGGCTCATTAATTCCTTTTTGCTTTCTGCCATAAGGGTGGTGTCATCTGCTTATCTGAGGTTATTGATATTTCTCCCGACAATCTTGATTCCAGCCCAGCATGTCATATGATTTACTCTGCATATAAGTTAAATAAGCAGGGTGACAATATACAGCCCTGACTTACTCATTTCCTGATTTGGAAACGGTCCCTTGTTCCTTGCCCGGTTCTAACTATTGCTTCTTGACCTGCATACAGGTTTCTCAGGAGAAGGTGGTCTGGTATTCCCATCTGTTGAAGAATTTTCCACAGTGTGCTGTCATCTACACAGTCAAAGGCTTTAGCATAGTCAATGAAGCAGAAGTAGATGTTTTTCTGGAATTCCCTTGCTTATTCTATGATTCAATGGATGTTGGCAATTTGATCTCTGGTTCCTCTGCCTTTTCTAAATCCAGCTTGTACATTTGGAAGCTCTCGGTTCAAATGCTGTTGAAGCCTACCCAGAAGGATTTATGCTGAATTCATAGATATTAATACTAAAAATAGTACATACAAAATAAAACTCACATTGGTTAGAATTTCACATAGTAAATTTGTTACAGGTTAAAAATAGCCTGAAAAATAAATAAATAATCACATGCTGTTGGTAACATGAACATTGAGAAACTTAACACAGGAAAAATTAGATTTGGTAGAACAGTCACCCAAGGTTAACACTGTCAGTGACCCAAACTGTACCTAATAAAATTTTTCAATGACTAAAACTGATGGAAGATTAAAATCTTTTTGACAAAATTTAGATCTACAGAATCCGAATCAGGAAAAATTAGACTTAAAAAAAAACCTCCTTAGAGGAATCCTAACAATGGCAAAAACTATAGTCAATAAAACTTGATGAAAACAACAACAGTGGAGAAGATCAATGAGTCAAATCTGCTCTAAACATGAAAAATTGTCAATTCTGGGGATAATTTCAGCAAAATAAAGGTGAAAGTGGAAAAAGTCAGAAGTGGCTCAATCACCTTATATAAAAATAATTGAGTTAAGTGGACTCCACGGTGTTAGATTTTCAAAAGATTTTCTTGATTAAAGTGCATTCCTGTTGACATAGTTCTGGTTAAAAGGTTTGGGTTCATAATTATCACCTTAACCTTAATCTCATTGGCAAAGTAGCAGGGTCAAAACAGTGCGATCTAAATGTCTTACAGGGACTAGGCAGGAAGAGATAAGAGACTGGGAAAGATGTTATACAAGCAAGAAGTGATGAAAGATTATGATCAGTTAAGAGCATGAAGCCTTAGGCTGAGAATCCAAGGCCCAGGTGAGGTATACAGTAGGTATGAAAGTTTTACTATAAATCCAGGTCATGGAAATCATCATATGTGCCCTCATCCCAATTAAGTTAAACACTAATTGACTTCATGATCTAACCTTCATCTCCCATCCCCACTGGATGGAGATCCCAGCACTTACTGCCTGGCCATTTCCGGGTCTTCTGAAGAGCCATAATCACGACCATTCTCAGCACCTGGGTAATCAGGCTCTCCCCAAAAGTCTGTAGAGTTCCGATAGTCCTCAGCACCCGGATAGTCTGGTTCTCCAAAAAAGTGTGGATGGTTAGATTGACTCTCAGCACCTGGATAATCAGGTTCTCCCAGAGAGTCTATGTATGCCTTGACTCTGGGACTAGCTTGTTCTGGATTCCTTCTGTAGCCTGGATGGTTTGAAGTGGCTCTGGGGCCAGAAGAATTCAAGTTTTCCTGAGCTCCAGGGTAGTCTGGTTCTCCCAAGGAGTCAAGATAATCTGGATTTATTCTGGAGCCTGTGTAGTTTCCCCTGCCTTTGGAACCAGGAAAGTCAGGATTTTGTTGAGACTGAGAGTAGTCTGGCTCTCCAGATGAGCCTGGCTGGTATGGATTCCTCTGAGATCCAATATACTCTGGTTCTGCCAAAGGTTTGGGATAGTCTGTCCCTGCAGAGTATGGATGGCTCCTGGTGCCAGGGTAGTCTGGATTACTCCGAGATCCAGGATAATCTGGTTCTGCTAGAGACTCAAGATAGTCTGGACTTGTTCTGGACTCTGCTGGGTATGGGTTGCTCCTGGTGCTGGGGTCATCTGAGTTGTTCAGAGGACCTGGAGTTTTCAAATACCCCTGAGTATGGTTTCGAGACTCAGAATAGTCAGGGTAATCTGGGTCTTCCTCATAAGCGCTATTCCTGTAGGCAGACATGTTTACTCTGGAGCATTAAAATGCATCTGCAGTTATTCAGCAATCTCTTTCTTTATCTGAAAAACAAAAGGAAGAAAACGTCAGATTTTTTTCCCTTTCTTCCCTGCAATAATTGATGGTTACCTTGCAGTATCGGTTCTTTTTCCCTTCCTAGTTAGGTACACAACTGTCCAAAATAGAGACTATATCTCCCAGCCTCCTGTGCCTGTACGTGCAGCCATGAGAGCGGGCAATGAGATGTGGGCAGAAGCGGTATATAGTACTTCTAGGCTGTGCTGTTAAAGAGAAGGGGTATTCCTCCCTTTCTCGGTCTTCCCACTTCCGTGGACTGGAGTGTGGAAATGATGGGGTGCCATCTGGGCCACCTGTGGATGGTGACTGCAGCCATGAAATCAAAAGACACTTGCTCCGTGGAAGGAAAGCTGCGACAAACCTAGACAGTGCATTAAAAAGCAGAGATGTCACTTTGCCGACAAAGGTCCGTCTAGTAAAAGCTGTGGTTTTTTTCCCAGTAAAAAACCACAGTGGTTTTTAGTCATGTATGGTCATGAAGCCTGAGTGCCAAAGAATTGGTGCTTTCAAATTGTGGTGTTGGAAAAGACTCGAGAGTCCCTTGGACTGCAAGGAGGTCAAGTCAGTCAATCCTAAAGGAAATCAACCCTGAATATTCATTGGAAGGACTGATGCTGAAGCTGAAGCTCCAATAATTTGGCCACCTGATGTGAAGAAATGAGTCATTGGAAAAGGCCCTGATGTTGGGAAAGAGTGAAGGTGAAAGGAGAAGAGGGCAGCAGAGGATGAGATGGTTGGATGGCATCACTGTCTCAATGGACATGATTTTGAGCAAATTCTGTAAGATAGCGGAGGACAGGGGAGCCTGGCGTGCTGCAATCCATGGGGTCACAAACAGTTGGACGTGACTTAGCAACTGAACAACAACACCTGGGCCGTGTACACACAGGCAGCACCCACCCTGGGAGGGCAGCGCAACAGCCTGGCTTGTTGATGATTTCACAGATCAGTGCCCAATATCAACTTGGGCTTTTATGTAAAGAAAGAAAGAAACCATTATCTTGTATAAACCACTGTTTCTGGATCTGATACATTTAACCAAACTTATATGCTGACAAATACCTTCTCCTGGTTATGGGGGAGGAAGCAATGAACCAAAAGACTGGAGTAAACAAGGACTTTTTAAGCACTTGGACTGTACTTGTTTTGAGTTCAAGGCATAAATTACTATGCATGCACAATGGAGCTCCCCTGATCGCTCAGTCAGTAAAGTCTGCCTGTAATGCAGGAGACCTGGGTTCAATCCCTGGGTTGGGAGGATCCCCTGGAGGAGGGCGTGGCAACCCACTCCAGTATTTCTGCCTGGAGAATCCCCATGGACAAAGGAGCCTGCAGTCCATGGGGTCGAAAACAGTCGGACATGCCTGAGTGACTAAGCCCGGCACAGCACAGAGGGCTTGGGTAAGGATACAAACACCACCACCCCTTCCAGTTTGAAAATGTGGTTTTTTGAGTCCTATAAACTTTCATCTATAGATACAATATACTTTCAAATCAAAAGTGATGGGGTCTTAATTTCTAAGTGAGCCATCTATTGCTTTTACTTGCCTTTAACCTGTTTCTCCTTCTTTTGGCATCAAGGCCCTGATTTTCCTCTGAGCACCTGCCCCCGCCACACTCATGGTCTAAGGAAAGGCTAATTGCATTCTTGACTCCAAGGACAGTCACATGACCAACTCTGGCCAATCAGTGTCCACCATACCCCTTGCCACAGGGTTTGGTTCAGGAATGGGCACGTAACCCGGGTCAGTCTTCCAGGACCTTAACGGGACTAACTGGGAAAGGTATGCTCTTATTTCACTAGGTTGCTGCGGGGATAGGCTATAAGCCTGGAACTTCTGGTGTAGTGTCAGTCAGAACAGAGAAGAATACAAGGAGGGGATAAAATTTAAACAAAGAATTAATAGAATTTGTGGACTGACCTGATACAGGAAGGGTGAGAGCTAAGGAAAAGAAAAGTCAGAAATAAGCTCCACAATTTGAGCCAGCATGATTGGATAAATGGTGATGCTTTTGAAAGAAGCAAGTAGACCACTTTTAAAATTCAGCCAGTGAATTTTACAGATTTACCTCTATATAAAAATGAAAAGGGTTAGACTTTTTGTTGAGTAATTAGAGCTAAAGAATTAACCTTCTGCCACTGTCATCTACAACCTTTTCAGCATAGCAGAAAGTTTTTCATTATTTGTGCCCTGTCTAGCATCCAGTTCTCTCTTTTGTAGTAACATTTTTCCTCTCAATTCAAGTCAGCCAGGTGTAAATGTGTGACCCAATCAGAATTATTTGCTTCCTGGCCACAGTGATTGAGTCAGAGCCAGTGAGACTCAATTCTGGGGGTTTTATCAGAAGTGTTGAAAAAGAGAAGCTCTCTCTTTTGGTTGGACTTGGGACTTAGGAAGTTATAAGCCTGAAGCTGTCAGAGGTCACCAGGGAAGAGGCCTGCCTGAGAGTAGTGCCAACAGCAAAGAGAACAGAACCAAGAGATAAACAGAAAGAAGGATCAAATGCTGTGACATTGTTTAAGCACCTGAATCCAGCCATGTCTGAAGGCAGCCAGCCACTGGATACTTGAGTCATTACATTCCCCTTTTGACTTACAACGGTTTGGGTTGGGCTTTTGTCATACACAAATGAAAGAGAATGTCAACTAATATGCTGAGTTTTACAAACAGAAACATCCACACAAACTGAGTGCTAAAAAGACTAAATGCTGGGCTTTGTGGCAACTTATTTTTCATAACATGGAAAATGAACTCATTCATTTACTTATATTGTAAGACTAGAAATTAATATGTATTTATTTAACATTTAGGATTTCCATGGACTACTAAAACCTTAGCTATTACTATTATATCTAACAAACTAAATGATGCCTACTAAATCTAAGAAAATAAAACCTGTTACAATATCAGCTTAAGAGAATAAAGTATGTCCACCAAAAGGCAATGAGAGTGCTCATAAATGCTTTTCTTACATAAGAGCCAGGAATTGAAAACAAGCTAACAGTAGAATGAAATGGCAACCCACTCCAGTGTTCTTGCCTGGAGAATCCCAGGGACGGGGGAGCCTGGTGGGCTGCCATCTATGGGATCACACAGAGTCAGATACGACTGAAGTGACTTAGCAGCAACAGCAGTAGAATAAGTAAATAAGTTGTGGCATATTCATACAATGAGATACTACACAGCAGTGACAAACACTGAACTTCTGTGACATGCAATAACATGGATTCATCTCACAGAGGCAATGATGAGTGAAATTCAGATATAAAAGACTACAGACTGTATAATATTTATACAAAGTTCAAGAACAGGCAAACTAAATAATGACTAGAAGTCAGAATAGGGCTTACCTTGGGGAAGGGAAGAGATCGGAAACAATATGAGCGAGCAAGCCTCTGGGATTCTAGGAATGTTCTCCTCTTGATCTGGGTGGTGGTTACACGGTGGCATGTGTGTGCACATCAAGTACACATAAGAACTGTGTGGGTGCATGCATGCTCAGTTGCTCGGTTGTGTCATGGACTGTAGTAAGAACTGTGTACTTCTCTATAAATATACAACCTCTCACTCTTAAAAAGGAAATGAGAAAGATCTAAACCAGAAACCATAATATGAAACCTTCTATTTCCCCTTCTAATTCCTTCTAATTACACTAGTTGAAAATAAATGAATGGCTCTAGTTCACAAACATTGCCAGTTTTCTCACATATGCACCACAGACAATCTGAGTGGATGAAAGCAAAAACTAGGTGAGAACAGGACACATTATCTGCATTGAATCATCTGTTGATGTCAGTTCAGCTCAGTCGCTTAGTAGTGTCTGACTCTTCGCAACCCCATGAACTGCAACAAGCTAGGTATCCCTGCCCATCAGCGGGAGCTTGCTCAGACTCATGTCCATCAGGTCAGTGATGCCATCCAAACAACTCATCCTCTGTCATCCCCTTCTCCTCCCGCCTTCAGTTTTTCCCAGCATCAGGGTCTTTTCAAATGAGTCAGTTCTTTGCATCAGGTGGCCAAAGTATTGGAGTTTCAGCTTCAGCATCAGTCCTTCCAATGAATATTCAGGACTGATTTCTTTAGGATTGACTGGTTTGATCTCCTTGTAGTCCAAGTGACTCTCAAGAGTCTTCTCCATCCCCACAGTTCAAAAGCATCAATTCTTCAGTGTTCAGCTTTCTTTATGGTCCAACTTTCACATACATACATGACTACTGGAAAAACCATAGCCTTGACTAGATGGACCTTTGTTGGCAAAGTAATGTCTCTGCTTTTTAATACGCTGTCTAGGTTAGTCATAGCTTTTCTTCCAAGGAGCAACTGTCTTCTAATTTCATGGCTGCAGTCACCATCTGCAGTGATTTGGAGCCCAAGAAAATAAAGTCTCTCACTGTTTCCATTGTTTCCCTGTCTATTTGCCATGAAGTGATGGGACCAGATGCCATGATCTTAGTTTTCTGAATTGAGTTTTGAGCCAACTTTTTCACTCTCTTCTTTCACTTTCATCAATTAGTTCTTCAGTTCTTCTTCACTTTCTGCCATAACGGTGGTGTCATCTGCATATCTGAGCTTATTGATATTTCTCCTGGCAATCTTGATTCCAACTTGTGCTTCATCCAGCCAGGCATTTCTCATGATGTACTCTGCATATAAGTTAAATAAGCAAGGTGACAACATACAGCCTTGACGTACTCCTTTCCCAGTCTGGAACCAGTTCATTGTTTCATGTCCAGGTCTAACAATTGCTTCTTGACCTGCATATAGATTTCTCAGGAGGCAGGTCAGGTGGTCTGGTATTCCCATCTCTTGAAGAGTTTTCCACAGTCTGTTGTAATCCACACAGTTAAAGGCTTTGACATAGTCAATAAAGCAGAAGTAGATGTTTTTCTGGAACTCTCTTACTTTTTCTATGATCCAATGGAGGTT